ATATTTCCTCCGTTGATCTCTTTTCCTAACGTCATTCCTCACCCATATCTATCACTTTGTCAGCTGACGACGACTTACCTTCTATTCAAGTGGACTTCTCATTGACAGTGACAATGAAGAAGTTGAAGATTAGGAAGAGATAGTGGACCCTTCGATGTTTTCTAAAGAAGGAGAACCGGACGAGGAAGATAAATGCGATGATGGCGTTAGTGATGAGTGGTTACGTGATGTTACGCCACACCTCTTCGTCATCTATAAAAACAAGACTAGTATATGTGGATAATTAAGAAATGGGTGGATGGAACACAGCGGTCTCTACGAGTTATTTACGGGCTACTGGCCGACGTTTAAAAGCTGGTCCTGAGCGAAACGACCAGATATGAAGGTTTCATATACAGGGTAACACATCGAGCCGTGTTTGCAGAGCGTCCAAATTTCAAACAGGAAATCGATCTGGAGAACAAACAACAACAACAACTAAAGCGAACATTCTCAGTGAAAATTCCCCGTCTTTCATTTTACTAGAAGTCTTTTATATTGAGTTTGTATTTCTCTTAGTGGTACCTACTCACGTCGTGTACAGTTGAATGTGGTGATGCTTTTCCATTCGTTCCAAGTATGTTATATCCGAACAAGAATGATAAGTAAAATTAGCAGAGTTATTATGTATTTAAATTGCTCAGTTTACACGAGGTATGTAGCTTTTATTCGGCTAACGTTGCGACGTCTTCGTCTTCCTCAGTGCAGATGATCCGAATCGACGTCCACAGTTCTTCGCACTCCCAATGCGGCGTCTTCATCTTCGCATCGAATCCGATCTTCAGTGGAAGACCGCTTGTGGGTGAACTTATTATTTCTTCGGTGATAATCCAACTGCCACCTTGTCGGAAAACATGTTTGCGCCTGAAGCGTCCAGTAAACAAACATGCAGGAAGCTCTCTATTACAACCGTGGAGAAAATGTTCTGGGTTAACTATTGCTTTCTCTTTTCTGGATGTAAGATATGTGGTTATACGATTGCCTACACCGTTTTAGTCATTTTTTTATTGCTATATTCATCATGCTTGAAGGTGGGAGGGATTGGTGGCGCAGTGGTCAATGATGCAGCCAACCAAGCAGCAATGGCGCTATTTCGACCTCTTCCCCAAAGCTCTCCTCCACTTCACATGGGAACACCTTAGCACGGTTATCTCCAAAATCTGAAGGACAAAATCGACTTGACCAGCATTCTACGATATTCGTAAGGAATACGACATTCTGAAGCAGCAGCTAAAGCAATACGAGAAATGTTCAAAGAACGCTTTGGACGAGATGACTGCGAAGAAAAGGAATCGAAGTGCTGGGATCCGAACAGAAAATGTGATGACGGGTCATGTAGAAATAAAAAGTATAGTCATCATCGCAGCTGCCATCACTTTGTCAACAGATTTCTTCTGTGTTCGAAATTTTCGATTGGTAAATTTGCATATGTAGCTGTTTTGTAGATACTGTAATCATTCCCACATGGATACAGTATCGTTCCACTTTGATTCTATCTAAACACTCATTGATGTCTTTCCTTAAATATCGGCTCCTTTGATAGTAGTAGAGAACTCTACGTTTCCATTTTTTCTTCCCATCGGACTTTAGCAGATTCTGGTCGAAGTAAAACTCTCAAGTTTTCATTAACTGGATTATTTAAGTCTTAGATGAGAAAGCTTAACAAAGAAGGCTGCCATCATTGAAGACAGGATAACTGTTTATGAACAAATTCTGGTGGACAACCCGGTTAATAAAGAATAAAACAACTACAATGTAGTCTCTTTTATCTACTGCCAATTCCATTTTTTCAACACAGCTTCAGCCTAACTGCGTTCAATGCCTATTTGTGCCCGCCAAGTCAATCCAATCCCGCTAACGGATGATTACTGATAGCACCTATAGAACAAGGCTGAGAGAAGGGCGATCCGAAGGACTTCCGTGTTGTGGTAGTGAATGCGTTAGCCGCGGAAAGGGTAATAGCGTGTTCGATCCCCATAGCAGACACTAGCTGTCCGGAGATTTGCAAATATCTCATCATAATGTTTAACGTTTTGTTTTCTGCCTTCTATAATTTTCATGGCAGGTTATTAAGCGAAATACAACCACAACGTTGCTGAGATATTTGCAAAACTCTGGACCGCAGGTGTCTATGGTAGGGAACGAACGCGCTATTATCCTTTCCGGGGAGTAACGCGTTCACCACCACACCATACGGGTCCTTTGTTTCGCACGTCTCTCAGCTATTTCTATCGATCTTTTTGCCACAGCAATCACCCGTCAAATTATAGAAGGCAGAAAACAAAACGTTAAACATTGTGATTTCAACTACAGCCATAGCTTAACTGGGTTCTATGCCGATTTGCGCTCCCCAGATCAACCCCGCTGACGGGTGATTGCTGTGGCAAAAAGATCGATAGAAATAGCTGAGAGACGTGCGAAACAAAGGACCCGTATGGTGTGGTGGTGAACGCGTTACTCCCCGGAAAGGATAATAGCGCGTTCGTTCCCCACCATAGACACCTGCGGTCCAGAGTTTTGCAAATATCTCAGCAACGTTGTGGTTGTATCTCATCATAATTATGAAAATAACTACGTGTAGTGGGTTATTCATGTATTTGGCTCCATTGGTTGGAGTTTAGTTTGTCTAACTTCTCCCGCGTTTAACACAATATGCGATGTCTTTCATTCTTTTCTTTTGTATAAGAATCATTTTTGAATTCGTAAACAATCATTTCTTAATGTCGTCACTTTTTATTTATTGCCAATTCTCTTAAATGGGAAGGTATTATGTGAAACATAACCATAATGTTGCTGAGATATTTGCAAAACTCCGGACCGCTGGTGTCTGCGGTGGGGACTGAGCACGCTATTACCTTTTCCGTGGGCTAACGCGTTCACCACCATACCATGCGAGTCCATCGCTGCGCCTTTCTCTCAGCCATATTATTGATTTATCGGTGCTATCAGCAATCACGCATCAACGGGATTGATTTGGGGAGTCCATTCTTAGTATGAAGCAACATCAAAGATCCATCAGTTCCATCGCCATCCATGTGATCTTAGTTTTCTCATAAGCTGATATAGGGATTGGCTTAGGTTATACAACAAAGGCTCTATGCGTACTGCACCGCTAGTTGCTTTGGGTCTACCTGTTACTGCAAAATATCTGATTTCCGTTTCCATTTCCCTCATCCTTCACTATCAAGGTTTACACTGCTCGTGTTCCTAAATTTCTGTCATCGTCATAAACGTTCCAATTAATCTATTTTCACAAATTCCTAAAAAAACAGCGCCAAATTAAGCCCTGAAGACCTCTTACCTTAGTTCCGTATGGGCAAAAAACGTTTCGAAAATAGACCACAGAGGATGATACTCTTATAGTAATGAAAACTATCAACGCAAGGAAGTTGGAGAGTAGGGGACTTTGAGTTCATCGTTCGTCTAATTTTGACGAGCAGCTTCTGTGATTACGGACTCTACACATTAAATTCAAATTCTGAATATTTTTGATTTTTGTGTATGTCCTTACGTGGTCTTCGTTTTTCGCGTATTTCGGTGTTCTCAACTTCGAAGAGTGGAAAATTTCGTGCAGTAAGAAGTATACCCTCATATTTTCAAGGAATCTGGCGACTATGTTCCATTAGGTCGTCTTTTAAACGAGCCTAATCCCAGTATTTCCTGACCAGTGCTTATTTCCATTTTGCTGTTTAAACATTGCTTCCTTTATAGTGTTATCACTCCATTCTACACAGTTATGGCTTCTATCCGGAGTTTTTAGGCGCAAGTCCAAAGATACATCCTGGTCAGTTGGTCGGTTATTCTCACTTTCGCCGCTAGATATTTTCATTTCGACGTCGGCAGTAGCATACGATTTTCCATCTTTGGAAACTCCTACTATTCGATCAAGTCCATTTCTGTCTGAGCCGATCGTAGAAAGTAATTCGTCGGCAGGTGAGTGCTTTTCAATGTCAGAGTTAGTGGCCTGGCTTCGACTTGTTGAGTCGTTTAATAGCTGGAATGATAGTGGTACTGCATTAAACGTTTTGAATCGGTTCGGAAGGACTGTATCAGGGCAGGCGAATTTCCATTAGTAAAGTCTTTCTGAGTAATGGGAAGCAACATGCAGTAATTCAAACTTCCGACAGTACGGAGTAAGGGTAAAGGAGAAAACTTTCGGCGTTGGTCAATCCCTGAAGGTGCACCATTCATTAAATCTCATTAAGCATCGTTGGAGGTGAATGAATGCACATTTGGTCTATACAGGGACTCGCTATGGCCTATCGATGTATAGAGCCAGTCCTGTTATCTCCCTAGACAGATCTGGTATCAATTTGCTGACCCAGGAGGGATTAGGGTTTGGTGACCCTGGGGCGCTTGGATTGATCCCATATGTATTGCAGGGCGCCTCCGACCACTCGCTACACGGCCTCTTGCATACGTACATAAGGTATACGGAATAGGTTTGACTACAAAAGCGTACTTTTAAGTATGACTTAATTATTCGATTGCTTCGATGTCTAGTACCGAATTGGTTATAATTGAAACATACCTTCTTTTGTTCAAGTGTTCACTACGCATTGCTGAGTAGTTTTCTCATAAACGCCAGTGATAACCATCGATAAACATCGAGTATGGTTTGTAGGCTGTAGTTGTCTGTGATCTCTTAAGCGTCATAGAGCTATTTTAGTGAATGAAAAAAGTAGTCAGATCAGTACACTAACATCGCGTTGCTGTTGATTAAGCTAGTCCACCATACTTTCGAGCTTCTAGTTTGTTCTAACAACACTTTATCAGCCATATTTTAAGGTTACTTCAAGTTCTCAGTCTTTATTTATTCCTTTTTTCTTCAACTGGGAATTCTCATTGTACCAATCAGTAGTCATGATGTGAAATCCCCCGTTTATCTTCGCATATTTTCGTCATTCAAAGTCAACGTTTATTTAGGATGCTCACTGTCTACGAATAATTGTCAATTCATCATGTCTGAATCATTAGTGACAACAATTTCACCGAATGTTGCCGATACGCACGCGGATAGTCTTCGTCCGACATTCTCATCGATGCGATCACTGAATTCGATAAGTGATGGTGAGTTCCATCGAGTCATGGGAGAACGTGAAAACTATAAAACTGTATTGTTTTGTTATGTTTTCCTAGTTTATCTGTTAAAGTATGAAGAATACCAGGAAACACATCGCGTATAGGTTTTATTCCTCAAAAGTTTAAAAAACCCCAGCTAGACACAGGCCTATAAATTGGCCTCTTACCAAAGGTAAATGTTGTTTTTTTTCTACTTGCCATAATTATTGTTAATTTTAATTCTCGTAAAATTTAAGAAAGCGCTGACAAGTTTTTTTTGTTTAGTGTTCTGTATCAGTGCTAGGGTAAAATTGTTTAATTCAAAAGATTGACTTTTTGCAACTTTCTATAACTGTTCCGACTTCTTATACGTTTAACTGCTGTCTTCATAACTAAGTTATATGTGGATATATGGAGTTAAAATAAATGTTACGGCGTACTAAGATTCTCATCGACTATGCTTTACGGGGTTCAACTTAAAATACATGACTTCTTAGAACTTTTGTTCATCAAAGATTTGATCGCTGTATCGCTCTTTCAACTGAGAGTCCAATCAAAAAAGAACCGAACGTGAATACAGTCATGTACTAATTTTGCTGTTTATTGCAATTTACTTTCTTTATGTACCTCTACAAATTCTCGTGTAATTCGTGTTTCACGAGATTCGTCAGCAAAAGCGTAGTAGTTGACAAATTCCCATTAACCTTGTGATTCAAATGTTTTATTGTTCTTCTGGATGATAGATCGTGTTTTATTCCACTCATGGATAGAATCTGATTGTTTTTGGCTTTTTTTAAAGGCTCATGAGTTTATCTTCTTGAACTCGATCAAGCATGCAGCCGTAGACACTCCAATGGTTACTACTAGTTATAGGATTTGAACCGTTCTTTTTAACTTGTAGACGTTCACATTCAATCCGTACTCTAACTTTTCTTGACCTCACTGTAGTCCACATTGGGTGCTGTTTTATGTGATTCGATGAGCACACACTTTCCATAATTCATAGTTTAACCTATTTGCGACAACTTCTAATTTCTGATGTTTGCCGAGTAGACGACGGTTAGTTTCTGGTTGCTTGCGGACTGCATTGAAATCAATGCACGTTTTCCACTGTGCACCTTCTTCCTAAAATAAAAATAGCTTCATCAGCAAGAAGCTTCGTGTTTCTTTATTGATGCAAAATCCAGTTAGTCACCTCACTACTCATCTTTTTTTATTTGTACCCCAGGGCGTTTTTGCAGCTTCCGCATTTGTAGTACTGTCATGTCATCGGTGGAGATACTACCCCACTTTTTGTAGCTTGGGTTGTTCATTCGAGGAGCTGTTTTTTGCACCATATAAAGTATAGAACATAGCTTATCTAGGATGAAGCATTTGCATTGTTTAGGCTTTGCATTCAGTGCGAAAGGTATTACAGAAAGAAGGATTTGCGCGGGAAAGAAAACGTTTGGAAGCAGAATACGTTGAAATCAATATACAGCTTTATAAGGGGTTTCCATTCCGCCTTTTTATCCGTTAAGCTTACTGTCACTGCGATAACATGACAAACAATTTGTTTCCAAAGAACTTTAAAATGGAGAAGGAATATTCTGGTAGAGAATACGGCTTAAAAAGAATAAAGTTTCGGCTTTGATCAATCCCAGTGGGATACACCCTGCATTCGACTTCATTAAGCATCGTTTGGAAGTAACTAAATGCATATCTGGCCCTCACAATGACTCGCGATGGCCTACCGATGTATCAAGTCAGTGCTGCTATCCTCCCGAGCAAGTATGGTACCAATTTGTCGATCCTGGAGGGTTGGAGGGCTTGGTGAACTTTGGGCGAGGGAATCGATCCCATGTTTATTTCAAGGCGCATCCAACCACTGCGCAATACGCGACCATTCTTGGTAGTACATCTTTATTTCACAGTTCACGTTCATCATTGTGCTTACATACAAAAGTATCCTTGGGAACGTTATAGGAACTCAGCTTCATGCTTAAATTTAGATGGCAATAGAAAATATATGTGTGCTGAAGCGTTTCGAACGTATGTTGTGAAAACGACTTGCCAGTGACTCATAGAATCGTGTTTGAAATGTTGGTGATGCACTTAGCTCTCTCTCTCTTTCTCTCTGGTTGTCTTAAAGCATGCCCAGGTTATTTATAGTTTCTCGACTTTACCGAAGGGTTCAATTTCATACTTTGACAAACCTACCTCGCTTGGCTGTTACGGTGATCTGATTCGCTTCATTAAAGCATTCGCAACAGTGAGCGCTGGTCTTCATGCTTAACTGATGGAAAATAATTTGATTTTTGAGCCTTAAAGAAATATACATCAGGTTGTAATAAACATATAGCGGTGAGTAGCTCGATGGTTAGTGGTGTCCTGCAATACCTGGCAATACCTGCGTTTTTTTTTGGTTCGATCCAATGGCCGTGCTTACCGAACCTTCCACCTCTCCCAGGTTACACAGTTTGGTATCAAACTTGTCTAGGAGGATAGGAGTACTGATTTAATACGTTGGTGAACAGCTGCAATTCATTATGGAGGCGAAATATGCATTTAGTCACCTTTAACAGTGCTTGATGAAATCGATTGAATGGTGCATCTCTCAGGAATTGATCAAGGAAGTTCTATCCTTCTAACATGATTCCCGACTACACTTAATTTTTGTGGCAGCTTCATTGGACTGTGGCTACTCTCATTCAATTTTTCGTGCAGTTTTCAACAATTTTGCCAGCTTTTTCTGTTCATTGTTTCCTCCATATAATTCTATGTGTTTACCTATCTCCTCAAACTTTATAACTTCTGGTGGGAGGAGATGGCGCAGTGGTTAATCGTGCCATTGATCAGGAAGTGAAGAAGCTAGTTCCACCCCTTCCCAACGCTCTCGTCCAACCCACATGGGAACGCCTGGGCGAGATTGTCTCAAAAATTTCGAGGAGTATAAACTCAGCTAATATTCTACGCCGACAACGGCCTCAAGCAGCAGTCGAAACAACACGCGAAATGTTCGAATACCTTTGTGGACGTTGAATGCGAGTAAAACGAGTGGAATGCAGGAAATGCCCGGATCCATATAGTAGATGTGATGAGTAGTTATGTAAATAATATAGTAATGGCTCTTCTATGTGATGGAAAAATTTTACTCATTGTATAATAATGGTTGAGGATCGTTGCTAGTCGGTTTCACAACATATGTTTAATATGCTTTGACACTTTTGCATATCTTTTGTTTCGCCTCATCCATGTTTAAACATGATGAAGCTAAGAACCTACCTGGCCCAAAGGTGCACTCTGTGGAAGCGCATTGATGAACGTGTCAGAGTACACTGGTACACTCCTCATAAGTGACAGTATAGGATACTTAAAGTGGTGAGATATGCTCTCTACTTTGTCCACCATGAACGGTATCTACGCTCGACGAGTAAACCCTTCCGAAAAACAGTTTTTGTAGGTCATTTAATTATGGAGTACAACTCTTTTTGCTCGGTACAATATTTGTGATGGGTAATAGAACGATCGAGTGCAAAGAGTATGACAACAAAGCTGTGCTGCTAGAGAATTGGAAAGGTGTATTTCAAGGAACACAAACACTCTGATCTGTCCGACCTAGATGTTGAGGTTAAAATATGCTAATCCTAAATGTATTAAATCGGAAATGCCATGACCATCAGAGGTCTTTCTCCTACTTCCATAAAATGATTGGGAAATGAAACAGTAATTCGCGAATAATTTCGAGCGCTGAGCTTCTCACTCTCCATGCCATAGAAGCGATAGCCATGAAACCATTCTCTGTAATGGTTGGAACTCCTTAATTATTTATGGAACTTATGTGTTATACAGTAACTTTTAATGCAGAAACAGAGTTAATATTTTGACGTAGATGATTCATCACTTCCATGTGAATGTGTCATCGTTAATGAAGCATTACTGGAATTCATGTTCAAAGTTGACTTCGTAATGTGTCGCTGTGGCTGTACCGTTGTCTTTCATCACAATGCTTAACAGAAGTCGATGGTACGCACTCGTACGGATCCTGTGACCAAATGGCCAATGAACATCTCCCAACAGTTACACAAGGATCTGACCCGATTCTTGCTTCCATTGGCCGAAGGATTAACTCGTTAGGCGAGTTCTTCATTTTCTCTACAACTTTTAGAACTGTATATACTTTTTATTACACTGTATAATAATGAAATACAATGTGGTTTGCTCATGAAGAGTTCAATTCTCTGATAAAAACTATCAAGTTCTCGTGTGTGGAACTTAAAAGTTTGTTGTTATAGCATGCGCTTCGGAAGTCGTTTTAAATCTCATCCATAGTTAACGCGATAATGTGTTTTAAAATAAAAATTGTTGAGGGCGTGGAGATCTCAGTGTGCAATGTGCATTATTTGGATGCTTGGATGACCCGTCTTCATTGGTTGTGGAGGCCCAGCATAACTCCCATTCAATCGGAATTTTGCAAGTTTAGCCACTGTGGTTTCCTGGAGTACTGAGGCCATCCTATTCAAAGTCTGCCCCAAGTCGTCACCATTACAAGCAGTCACCGCGCTTATGAATCAGAGGGAGATTTCGCAATGTGCGTTATCCTTTCCAAAACGATGGTCAACATGGATGGTACAATTTTAATGCTGTATTACTCATAAACACCTAACCCTACTATAATGTTTAAAAATGCACTATAAATACTAACATTTCAAACTGAGGCTACATTTAGCAACCAGGTTTTCTTACTGAGTTATTCAATCGATGTTGGAATTCTGTTTGCCATGATGAAAGGTGAAAATAAAAATGCTACGGTATACTTCAGATGACATCAAGATCGTTCAACTACACCAACGATCGTTTTTTGCTGAAGAGCCGTATAATAAGGAGAATCATGTTAGTTATACTATTTAATGGATTATTAAAATTGTACGGCTGCTCACCATTTTAAGTGCAAACTGGGTGATCTCGAAAGTGATCGGAAGGACGTTGACGGTGACAGCAGGAAAGGCGACACTTCTGATTTCTATGCAGACCACGATTTCGGTGCAGTAATGAGTTGTGGTCGAACCGAGACGACGGAACCAACGTTAACTTCCGAGGTTTAAAGATAGTCTATACATTCAGTGTTATATCGGTATTCTGTGATAGATCACTTTCTTTCAGGACAATCATACATTGGTAGATGACTGCTCATTGAATGAACAAATTCCTCAATTAGAAGTCCCGCAGATTTCGGTAGACGGTCTAGAATTGCCTCGGGCATCTGAGATTGCCTCTTCATCAATGGACGATGAATCCTGTAAGTCGTTTAAATTGTGCATTTACCGACTTATTGTTTCTTCACTGAATTTCTTCTTTTCATTGCTGCTTCTCTATGTGCTCAATCATGTTCTTGTTGACTTCTACATGCTCACTTTTGAAAACAGTTTGAGTACTTTGGGTAATTGAATCTGCACTGTCTCGCGTGTCGTTTAACCCTTTTATCAAAGTGTAACCTGAATGTGACAGTACATTTTCTTAAAATTTACGAATGTAGTGTTTTCTTTAGATTTCAATGTTTCTAGTCCTCTCATCATTTATCAATAAGCTTTCTGTGACTTGACCGTCTACCGTGAAAATATTCCATACGAAACTGACTTATGAGCAACAGACGCCAATTCTTTCTTAAGTAATTCTTCATATTTTTGTTGAGCAAACGCGAGGTGTTATTGTTCTTTATTCACGAATAAGCTGACGTTTCGGCGGATTTTGCCTTCCTCAGAGCCTGGAAAGGTCAAGTTGATAGCAATCTATTCGGCCAGACACCTCCATAACCAAACAAAGAAACTCTAAACCAAGATTTCAATCACATTGAACACAGCTTTGCACACTCACCGCTTTCTACGAGGTTTTCACTAAGTACGTCGCGTGAAGACCATGCTTGCTTAATAGGATTGTTGGGAACTTTACAGTGAAGTTTATGAGTTGAGATATGCTGGTTTAATGTTAAAAGCTGTCATTATTTTTGCATCTTACACATTCAAATCAGTGTGCACTGTCGCGAACGTGTTGATCTTTTTTCTTCTAAGAATCCTTCCTCTACTTAACAGCATCATGCCGGATTTCTGTGCCAAAGTTGGATAAATTCACCGATTTCTCATTTTCTAGACTTCACGCGTGTAGCGCGGTGAGTAAGGATGCTTGCACGACACACGTGGTTCTTGGTTCTCTCCCGAGCCTCAGGTTGAAAAGTCCTTCCGTTCCTTCGGGGTGCGCAAATTAGTACCGATCTTGTCTAGGAGAGTAGATGCAGTAACTAGATACATTGATAGGCCGCCGCGAGTCATTCTGAAGGCCAGTTATGCATTCAGTCACCTCAAACGATGGTTAGTGAAGTCGAATGCATGGGGCATCTCTCAGGAATTGATCAACACTGAACGCTCCTTATCTTATATTTCGTTTTCACTTATTTTTTGAACTGAAACACATCGTTTTTTATGTTGACGAGGAGGGTTTGTGAGCTTATTAGATGTTCTTCTTCTGGATTCCTAGTGACTTCTTTGCATTGAGAGTGTAGAATCGACGGTTTCATGGATTTATTTCCTCTCTACTAAATATCCTATTCAACAATGTGTTATATACATACTCCATTATTCACAAACGCTTGAAATCTTAGGAAAGTTGCTCTGTCATGTCAGGTGTTTGATTATAAAAGCGGTTTCTCTATAAAGTCGAGGAGGTATAGCAGCGGAACGCTAAATGCGTTGTAAAGACGTTAAACACCCTGTACATGTTATAAACTGTAGACGATTCGTTAGAGGTTTGATAGATGTGCTTGCTAGTCCAGAACAGCGTTTTTTGCAACTTTTTGGTTGTCTTGTATGCGACTGTGCGTTTCCATTCAACAGAATTGTTCCATTTCGATCAATGATTGTAGCCAGAGGTATTGCAGTTTATGTTTGTATTTCAATGAGTTCTTATTGTTGTTTTCCGCTATAATTTTGCTAACGTCATATAAATTTTAGAAGGCTTCGTCTACTGCGGGTAATGAAGCCATTCAACGTTTATATCAAGCCTTGTTGAACAATTTTGGTTCCTGAAAGTGTTTGGTGCTTCACATTTGTGCTTAAACAATGTGCTTAAATTCGTCAGTTCTTGTCCACAATCTACTTTACGTCGCATGGCGTTCATCGAATAGAAAGCACAATGCGATCATGGGGAGAGTCGTTTTTGTTGTCCAGAAGATTCGGAGAATAGATCTTACAACAACTTCAAATTGAGATAAGATGTTCTCTAAATACTTTACTAATGTGTAGTTCACAAGCTATCCAATCGTTGTGCGTGAATTCGTTCCAGTTGGTGTCCTTCAATTGTCATCTCTGATGAAGTCGCTACACGATCTTTTCATATTGAATGCTTTTATTTTTATTACATACCTACTACTTGGATTGCCCGTCTTCAGTGGTTTTGCGGGCCCCAGCGCAGTTTCCGTTTTCCGAAGATATGCTGGTTTAGCCATTGTGGTTCTCTGGAGTCCTTAGGTCAGCCTAACCGAAACCTTCCCCAGGTCGTCACCACCCCATGCGGTCTTCGACCTTGTGGGTGAGAGGGACCATTACACCATGCAACTAGTTTGATACCAGGGCGGTGGTGGATCCTAGTATTCATTTATTCTTAGCTGAACTTCCCAATGAAAACGTTGAACTCCTTTTCAGCTTGGGAGGTCCTGCTGGTGGATGGATCCCATGCTGTACATCGCTACGCGACACTCAGGAATACTTTCCAGCCACGACGAGGCTGTAAGTGGCTGGGACGCTCGTTTCCATTATGGTGTCTGAAATCCATGTATTATTGTACATTTGTTAACGCAACCCAGTGGTTTAACTTCGCGGCTAAGTTTGGTTTCCTTCCAATGATTGTTTCAGTTCACTGTTCCGTCTTTACTCAAGAAACCTACACCCATTACAAATTGGCATTCGAACGAGGACATTGAGAGTGCAGATTTGCGCCTAACACATTGGCGACCATAATTTTTCGACAACTACACCAGAAGAGTTGAGGACTTGACAGGGTAGTAGAAAAGTTGTTTCTGATCCAAGGAAATGTGTATATATTTATATAAATATGTGTATATATATATATGTATATATAAAGGCTAAAAGGATAAAGCTGTCGGCCTTGACCAATCCTTAAGCGATGCCATCCATTCGTTTTCATTGAGCATCGTTGAGAGGTGATTGAATGAATATCTGGCCTTAAATTTACTCCGGTGGCCTATCGATGTATTGATCTACTGCTGCTATCCTCCCAGATAAGTATGTTACCAATTGGTCGACTCCGGATAGATGGAAGGCTTGGTGGAACATGGGCGCGGGATTGATTCCACGTGTGTGTTGCAGAGCGTCTCCGACCACTGCGCCACACGCGCCCTATATGTACGTAATATATGCATGTATGTATATATATATATATATATTCTTTCTCCGTATTTCGTCTTAATTTAAAATTTGTTTAAGATTGAAAAATTTAAAGCAAATTTCGCAATTTTCATTGCGAGAACCAACCCCACAGTAATAAACATTGTGTTCGCTGGCGTCATCGCGTCCTGAATTAATTCGTCCTTTTTAAATCTCTTTTCTATTTTATATAGAATTATTATTGAATTCATGACACTAAACGAGTAAGCGACGGCATTTGCCGTAGGCAAATTTGACACATTTTCAGAGAAATTTAGAGCGCTTGCTGACATTAAGTATCTACATAGGTATCGGTTGAGTTGGCCAGCTTATGCTGCCGTTGAAGCTAACCTTAAACCTTAAGTTTTTATTTGCTGCCTATTAGTTTTTTACGGCAGGGTATTATGTGAAATACAACTGTAATGATGTTGAGGTATTTGCAAAATTCCGCAGGTGTCTGCGGTGGGATCGAACACGCTATTACCCGTTCGGTGGGCTAACGGTGAACTAACCTTAAACTTCGCATCCTTTCGGTTACCCAAATTTTCATTGTCAGTATTGTCAGTTACGCGACATTTTATCGGATGTTACAGTGATTTGATTCGCTGCATTAGCACATAACGACAGTAGGCATTAATTTCCATGTTTGAGCAACCGGACATATTTCAGATTTTCAATTTTAAACAAAGATATATGTGTATTTATCAGTTCGTAATAGTCATCTTTTATTGAAATAGGAAAAGGTAGAGGATAGCACAGTGATGCTGATAATCACATGCACGGTGCTATTTCGATTCTGCTCCGGGCTAACCAAGCTTCTCATCCCTCCGAGTTCGGAAAATTCGTACCGAGCTTATCTGGAGAAAAAGTCACTCGCTGCAATCCAAGTGGGTACGCTCCAGTCCGGCTATCCCAGGACTTCAGGGAGAATTGACTCAACCAGCATTCTACGACATTCAAGATGGAAGGAAAATTCTCATGCAGCAGCCGAAGCAACATGTGAAAAGTTGAAAGACCCTTGTGGACAATGGATGCGAGGAAACGAATCGAATGTGGGAAGTTGGAATCCGCACAGTAGACTTGAAGACGGGTCGTATAAAGTAAATAAAGTAAATTATTTCTTTATAAAGGAAAAAATATTCTGTTACGATGGTAGACCACAAATACTTTTTCTCTTATCGTGGTCCGTATTTCTACCAGTGAGGTAGTTTGACATGCACGATTTCGTTCAGTTGGCTGCTGCTGCGCTTGTATTAAGGAAAGCAAAATTTGCTCTCGGTTGGTACATTCCATGAATGTAGTTGAATAAGCAGTCATTACGAATCACAATGTTTTCGTTGAACGCATCGATTTAGAAAGGGTAGTGGTTTCGTTAATTAACTATTTTAACCAGAAATGAGTGTTTAAAAGAGGTTACTGAAGATATTCTTTGCATCAACTTATTGCTGATTGCTCTGTGTCCCTTGAATCAAATAAGTTCGTTATAACTCCCAGGATCTACCGTCCCCACGTTGATCAGCAATTTATCACTTTTATGAGCAGACACGGAGTAGTTGTTGTAGCATTAGCTATCGTGAAATAAGTGTTAAATCTACTCGGTAGCAATTATGGTAGCACTAGGTAGCTATGTTAGCTTCACTTCTTCATCGCATCCCTTTTCCTTCACTTCATTGGAAACTTGACGTAATTTAACTTATTCAGCTCAATGTAGACGAAGTGGTTTACTCTCGGGAGATACTCGGCTGGCCTGATTCTACTCTTAGGAGAACGGTGCTTGACATATTAGTTCATATCTACTGGCAATACGTCGCTTCGGTTGTGGCTTTTTTTGTCTGATCTTCGACCTTGAAGCTAAAGTTGTGTTAGCTAGTTCGTCGTTGATTTTCCTGACTATCATAAAGTAACAGTATGCGATGCACGGCACTTTTATTTCGCATTAGTCATGCCGGCCGATCATCAACGACGCCGCCTCCGAAGGCGTTCTGTTCCAGCTGCCCTGAGCAACGCAATGAATAGTTCAATATCTTTCCATGCTTACAGGCCACTTTCGTAATGGAAACCTGCGACAGTTTACTAACGGGAAATGGTGGTTAGCTAATAAAAATCTACTGAATAGTTTAGATATTTAGTGACTTGTTTATTTGATTACTATTGCGTTCCTTGTCTCTTCTTTAACGGCATGGAAAACTCACAACTTTTCCTCCGTGGTTGTGCCAGTATTTATTTAAAAATCATTCGTTTGCACGTGTATTCCAAATTTCAGAAATCACAGCTTAGTTGGCACAGTTGCCAGTTCGGTTTTCTAACGTTTAGAAATCACTTTTGATTCACTTATTTATAAACTGATCTTGTTGAGCCAATGCGATGTTGGTATAAGTTTTTTGTTGTCGTTGTTGTTGTTGTTGTTGCTGTTGTTGTTGTTGTTGGTCGATGGCTGACGTTTCGGCGATTTCGTCTTCTCCAGAGCCGTGCTGTTACGACTGAGACTGTATTGACTACGATTACGACTACAAGTCCCACTCGTTACAGCACGTCACTAAGGAAAGCGAAGTCGCCGAAACGTCAGCCATCGACCAATAACACAACAACAACGAAAACATGACAGGCACGCATCACCTCAACAAGATCAGTTTATAAGACTATATAAATGAATGTATCAATTATTCATGCCGAAGTTTATAGAATGTCGGTCTTTTGAATCATCTTTGATTCTTTGGTGTACGTTAATAATTTCCTATTAGCATGAATACATCAGCATAGTTCCTTGCAAAATTGCAATGTGGAAAGGTCACTTTAATGTATAAGTGTCTCAATAAATAACAGAAATTTCCCTTGTGGATAAGTGTGTCGAAATTGTTTAGGTGAATCAACAACACATCTTTTGGATGAATCGATGATTCCGCTTGTGGGAACTCCACATCCAATGACTCACATCCCAGTGGAAGGGTTTTTCACATTCGTTGAACGACTCCCAAATCAGGAGCTTCCAGCTATTTCTGAGGAGAATGAAGTTTGTGTTTTCTCATCGCATATTCTTCTTGGTATTAGCTGATTTTTGATTCTATCTTTTTAAAATTCGCATATCTTGTTAGTCTAGTGTAATAACACATATGTGTAGTTTTAGCATATTGATTCGAGAATATCAATCATGTATTGTTAGGAACAAAGTCTTCGACGTCAACGCAAACATACGTGTTCATCTGTGAGAAGTCACGCCCGAAATTGTGCAACGGAGGTGCGGCAAGAGCCAGATGATATTGCGCTGGGATCTGCTTCTCGTGCTAATCCAGAATTGATACCAGAGCTGAATTATTCATCTTATGCAGAGGTTCTTCCTGGTCCCGTTCACAGGTCTGATTTCTTTTTTTACAAAAGATTTGTTGATTAAATGGATAGTAATTATCCAGTAACATTTCTTTTCATCAACATGGTTCATGAACAGTGTTTGATTTAATTGGTTCTCGTATGTGATTACATTTTCGCTTATTTTACGTTGACTTTTTCTGTTTCGTTGTAGACTACCATAGCTCTTTGGTAGCTGAGCTTAGCCTGTTTTAAACCTGGTGAGGGCAAAAAATTAGTGGTAGTTTTCCTTTACATTACTATCGTAGGAAAACAGGTAATATTGTGCTACACTGAGACTATTTATGAATGATTAAGTCGATTTTAAATACTATCTCTGATGAAGCGTATTTCTTTTTATAAATAGGCTTTTTAACATAAGCTTTTTCCATTTTTCACTAATATTGTGTGTGAACTTTTTTTCAATGTTTTGCTAAGAAGTGCTGATAGGAAACGTTTTCGACGTCGTTGAACTTGTTTGCCTAGTGGCCCCATACTATCATATTTCTTGGTGATGATTGAAATTTTACTCCAATATGGAACTGCTTGTGAGGGGCTTGGGTAACGCAAGGATTATAGGCGCCCTGTAATACGCATGGATTCGATTCAGCATCCCAGGTTTAGCGACCCTTCCATGCCTACGGTGTTGGTAAATTCCTCCTAGACCTGTTTGGTGGGGAGGTGGGTAACAGCACCAATTCGATACAACAATAGGCCACTGCGATTCATTGTAGTGGCTAGATCTGCATTCAGTCACCTCAAACGTTACTGAATGGAGTCGAATACATGACGCTCAGGGTTTCATCATCGCCGAGAGCTTTGTCCTTTTGTGGAGTTGTGAGCTCAGAGCAATAAAAGCGGAACTTTTTTTGCACACGAAAAACCGACTTTCGATGAATCTCGGCACCTGTAATTAATTTGTCTTAAATCTTATTAAGCCAACCCCCCGGTTGCTATTACTTCTTGAAATACTACGACTGGTGTTTCAGCGATTTCGCCTTCTCCCGAATTCGACGTACTGGCTCCCAAAGCCCGACCTACATGGGTACATGGATGGCCCGTCCTCAGTGGTTCTGGTGCTGTAGCATAATTTTCATTCGTTTCTCTATCGCTCGATAGTCGTTCATGGTGGTGGTGTGCTTTGAACTTGGTGACGCTGGCAAGGCCAATTTCGTATTTCAGAAATCGTTTCCATCTGCGAATGCATATGGTTGACGTTAGCCACGAACACGTTTGGGTGGTCTTCCAAGAGGACGCTTGAATTCTCGTGGATTCAGAATCCACTCCACTTTTTCCTTCCATCTATCATCTGTTCTCCTCATTATGTGAACGTCCTGTTTTTTTTTTCACTACCGATCTGTATGCTACTGGTTCCCAAAGCCGAGGTAGGGTCAAAAATCTGAGCTGCAAATTTCGGTTAGACGTTATGAGTGCCGGTTAACTCTTTGAAGACATCGATCGTACATTCTTGACGTGGTTGAGGTATCAGTCTCTGCCGCATAACTGAGCGCTTGCAGGATTGTTAAGTTGAAAAGATAAGCATGGCATCCATGGATCCGTTAATTAATCAGTGGCTTCTTTGAGAGGTCCGAATGCGGTCCATGCTGCTCTCCTTCCTATATTCAATTCCTTTCTCATGTTGTTCTCTGTTCACTGAACGTCCGAGGTACGCAGACGAGGTGGGCTCTGTAATCAGAAAACCATCTAGTTCGATATGTTCGCCTTTGCACGAATTTTTCATGGCTGGGTCTTCGTCCTATTTATGCGCATTTTAATCTTTTTTCGCACTTCGTTAAGTTCATTGAGCATCGTCTCTGCTTCACTGATAATTCGAAAAGACAATGTTATCCTCTAGAGGAAAATTTGATAGGAATTTTCTATCGATGCGATACAATCAATATGAGTACGTGTGCCTTTCTTGTCCCAGTCGAGTGACTTTATGATCCACTGCAGTGCGGCGGTAAGCAGCTTTGCCGATATTGTAGCGCCTTGCCGAACCACTTTTCCTACTAGTAAAGTGAAGGGACGGTGAAAAACTGTATATTTGTGTTGCAGTTCCGTTAATAGCATCCTAGTGTTCGTATAAAGGACGGGTCCACTTCTTGTTTGATGGGCGCTCATAGGATTGCATTCTTTTCGACCTTCTGAAAAGCCTTTTTTAGTCGAAAAAGGTTTGGACAAGGTGCAGTTGGCATTCCAACAGACTTCAGTGGCTCGTGATACGGTTTGGATGTGCTCCATTGAGCAGAATCCTTGTCGGAATCCTGCGTCTTCAACTGATTGTGCCTCATCCGTGCCCTTTGATATGCGCAGAAGGATAATAATCGTGAACAGCCTGGTGAATACACTAAACCAGAATATAGGACGATAGTTACGAACATCCTTTCAGTCACCTTTCCTTGGTAGGATGACCTTGCGCGAGGTTCTCTAATGGTCTGGGACTTCCTCTTTCTGAAGGTGAGTGTCATGTGGGTTACGAGAAGTATATCAAATTTGTAGCATCCAGCCCTATCGAAATAAGCAGGGATATTATCCGGTCCTGGAGCTCTGCTCCTCATGATGCTTTTTATCGCTATTCGAACCTCAGAGAGTGCTATGAATTTCATGTGATTTTTCATCAGAGGGAATTTTGGGATCCGACGGAGGTTATGGAGTGAAAAAGATTGATATAGAACCTGCTTCTAATAGCTTTTCCTGCCTATACCGATGTAAATTCTCTTCTACAGCTGGTATATGTCGTCGACTGTGTCAGGTGTGTTACAGTAGAGTCAAGCTTCGGCTTTCTTCTATTTTCGAGTAACTACTTAGTGTTAATAAGGTTGCTGTCTGAACTTCTTATTTGAAGGACTGAGGCGATTTCGGCACAAGTTTTAAGTCCTTCGAAAGGCCGCTTCTAGTTCTGTGTCAGGTCTTCATTTATCTGCCAGTTGTATGAGGAGAGGACTTTACTGAAAATATCCTCTTCATACATTTCTTTCGTTTTCATGCATAACGACAGTTCTTTTCCACCTTATGGCTAAATCGAGTCATGACACGAAGAAGGTGGTGACCAGATCCAATACAAAATCCAGGTTCTACTGAGGCATCAAAGAGGCACCATTTTCTGTACATGAGAACGTCATCGTCCTGCATGGCGGTTTCCACTCTCATTTCGTGCTCGTATTCCGAATTTCCCTACCCTCTATTCATTTTCGTTGGCTGTTCCTTGTTCCCTGGAGTTCCGAGGTTAATTTAAGCGAAGTCTTCTTCAGGTCCTCACCACCCCAAGCAGTAGCCCCCTTTGTGGCTCAGAGGAAGCTTTGCCACCATGCCACTAGTTTGATATAAGGACAGTGGTGATTCCTGTTATTGGTTTACTCTTTGCTGGGCTTCCGGAGGCGTCCGACTCCTCATCTTGGAGTGTTCTGCTGTGGGGATAAACCTCTGCTGTACATCGCAGTCCGATACCCAGGAGAGCCTGTTAACAGGAACTCACCGTTTTCTTCCCTAAAAGGATACTTCCCTTCATCCCCAAAAAAGTTGTGTTGCAGGCGAGCTACAAGTGATAACTTGGTAGTGGAGGCTGTTCGACGCAACGAGCTGCGCCGAGCACAGGAAGTAGAAGAGATTGACCTTATTGGCAAAGACGAGGTATATTTGTAAAATTTTGTGGAATATAGTGCAAGACCTCTGAGGGATTATGAAGATTCTTTTGCCTCAATGGTTTTCTTAGTTAAGGTTAAATTAGTTAGATAAACTAGTCTTAGATAAAAAAATTTTTACTTTTAGAACGTCCTTGTGCGATCACAAAGGTCTGTGGTTAGAACAGGTTCCATCATTTCAAACAGATGTCAAAGTCAGGTAAGTTTTTTGATTGATTTGACTGAGTTTCTTGATCAACTGGTTGAACGATCAGTTTTTGATTGTTTTTTGATTATTGATGTTTATGTTTGAGGTATTTATTAACTCAGTTATCCACTTTTCTCTCCTATCCACAAAATTAAGGCTTCCTTTTGTTCAGGTCTTCCTTCCCGAACTCGGGCTTAACGATGCTTCAAATTCTGTTCCCGTGTTGGATAGAAACCTAAGCAACTCTGACCCATCGATTAACGATGAAAAGCCTACTAGTAAGAGTGTTTAAACCTATATAAGTGTTAGAGGGTTGAGATGAGCCTATAACAATAGTGTAACTTCATTGAAACTTCAGCATACTTTTGATAATAAGTAAACAAAGTTTTAATACGTGATCATGTTTCATATAGTATCATGCCATTACGTGATACTTCTTGACCTACATGCCATTAGTGCTCTTATTTTCATTGCTTTGGAAACTTTTAAAGGATTGGTCTTCATGTTTTCCACGGCAAAAACACAAGGATAAAATGTAGTTTTTTTTTCGAAGAAAGCTCTCGATTGGGTGGTTTCTCACTATGGTGGGTTGTGTTCTTCGATATCGAACTACGACAATAAACGGACGTTGGTCTTCTGGTATGATCATTGATCTTGACAAGAAATATGACATTTCCATCCAGAAACCCAGCCCACGACAAACCGAACCAACCGAACATGGCTGTCTTCTCCTGGAAAAAAAACTGGAAAAATAGTGTCATACCAAAACTATGGTGCTCTAAGTATCCATTGCACTAGCAGAAATCTTTGGTGCGTGACGAGGGCCAATTACTGGTTTCGGTTCAAATTACCCCGTAATTAATAGGAGCGCAAGTCATACAAGTGATATGGAAGAAAGGAAGAAGGTAGTTTAAGAAATCGTTGACCTCCATTGAAATAGGAAACCATCAATGTGCTCAGTTTGTACTATCTCTGCGATAACGAGTTCACGCATATCCTGTGTGATCTCGCGAACGACTAATGAACGCTTTTGTCTTTCACAAACAGTTTTGAAAACAGTTGATGTGATTACAGTGACGGATGCATTCAATGGCATGTATCGAACAAATTCAATTAACAAGTGTTTGTGGATGGGAAACTATTGTGTTATTGGTCCATTGTTGTACAGCGCCATCTAAATACTCGTTTTACTTACTTGAATACTTGTACACTGCTCGTGCGGGTCCCAGCATATTCTCCACTTTTCGGAGACTTGCTTGTTAAGCCGTTGTAATTTCCTGGAATCTCGAGGTCAGCCTGGCCAAAGTCTGCTTTAGGTCTTCACCGATACAGGCAATCGCAGCCCTTGTGGATCAGAGGGAGATTTGCCACCATGGGACTTTGATACCAGAACGGTGGTGGATCCTGGTATTGGTTTACTCTTAGCTGTGTTTCCTGGCCTGACCCCTTCTCAGTTTGGAAGACTCTACTGTGAGGGTGAATCGCTCAGCTCTACATCAGATGGGTGTGTCGTTCACCCAAGAACACCTCCCATTTACGATAAGACGATAAACCGTTGGGAGGAGTAGTCGTTTTAGTACTAATAAACACAGGACTTAATGTAGAAGCCAGCTAAGTTAAATAGATGTTCCCTGGAATTCGTTTTTGTGCACGGTTGCAACAATGCATCGGTGCGGTTTTTGCGCGGGCCGTTTCATATAGCTAACCATATTTCGTTTCGATTAATGTCTTATAATGCCCGTGTGGCGCAGTAGTCAGAGGCGTCCTGCAAAACACGTGGAATTGATCCTCGCGCCCGTGGCCCACCAAACCTTCCAACCCTCCAGGACCGGCAGATTGGTACCAAACTTGTCTGAGAGCATAGCAGCACTGACTCGATACATCGGTAGGCCACCGCGAGTCATTGTAAAAGCCAAATATGCATTCAGTTGTCTCCAAACGTGCTTATTGAAGTTGAATGCATGGTGCATCCCTCAGAGATTCGTCAACGCCGAGAGCTTAATCATTTTAGCTTTAATATCTTATATCGAAGCCTTAGGAAAATCTTTTTGTTTTTCTTTCGCCTTCGTAGCTTCACCATATATTCCTTTTCCGGTTGATTGAGTTAAGAGGTTGGTAATCTTCAGCGTGGTGAAAATATTATTTTGGATTTGTAATACGAAATATTTTCAAAAATAGTATGGGTTTGCTACCAAAACGTTGTCGTGATTTACGGTTCAATTCTTTTTCCATGATTCAATGGTTTTTTGCAAAAAATATTTTTCTTCGAAAAAAGTTGCAGTAGACTGCATTAACGTTCAAATTTCATTTGGTGTTTTACAGTACACTTAATTTTTCAGTTATTATAGATTTTTGCAGAAGCACTGGATGGCCCACCTCCCGTTATTCTGTCCCGAAAAGCTTCCTCTAATCATCATGATCCGTGGAAGAAGGAATTTTCCTGTCCAACTTCTACTCAACCTGTAAGTTATAATAACGACTAGTTATTTCGTCATGAAATATTTAGGGCTTTGCTATGTAGCAGATTTATTCAGGATCACAAGTGTATAAACGTAGCGGACTTTATGTAAGTCGGGCGTTGTGCATTGTGTTGTGACTACCCTATTTCGTAGTTATGTTGTGATATCCCTGCTCTCCTATCCTTCATTATTTCATTGGTTTCTAGCTAGCAAATTTATTGTAGAAAAAGTTACCACAATAGGTGTTATTAAAATAAGGACACCTTAAAAAAGAATTGCTGTATAAGTGTTGGTAACACTTTCCATGTATTCCCAAAGACATTCAATTTTTTCAAAAGTAAATCGTAATTTGAACTTCCTGCAACTCTTCGTGCTGCAGTGTGCTTCGGAGGCGGATAGCAGTGGTAGTGATGTCGGTTATCATGAGCGTGGTGCTAGTTCGATTCCGCTTCGGGCCAGCTAAGCCTCTCATCGCTCCGGAGTGGGGAAATTGATACTGAACTTCTTCGGGAAAAAATCACTCTCTGCAATCAAAATAAGAATGCTCCAGTTCGGCTATTCAAGACTCCAGGGAGAATCGACTCGACCAGCATTCTACGACATTCAAGATGAAATGAGAGTCTTCAGGCAGCTACCGAAGCTACACGTAAAAACCTGGAAGACCTTCGTGGATGATGGATGCGAGGAAACGAATTGAATGTGAGAAGTACTGGGATCCACACAGTAGACGTGAATACGGGTCATATACAACAAAAAAAAATTTTGAACTTCAGCGAACGGTTGGGTTGTCATATTGTTTTTAAGTGTATTTCTATCAGTTTATACAATGTTAGTCGAGTAACCATGCATAGCTTTTACGACCACATAAATATACATTTGGTGGTGGATCCCAACAACCCGTTAATGACCGTGACAGTCTTTCGAGGGTAGTCGACATTTCTGGATGGTCAGGATACTTAAATAGTTGAAAAATTAGCAGAAGAAACGTTTTAAACTTGCCCTTTGGAATACATATATTTATTTATTTGTATCGTGTTGAGTGTGCAATATGCGGATTATCGAAATATACGAATATAAATCGAATTTTTCTACTCGGTTGCATAGGTAGACGACCTGTTAACAAGATTATTGCCACCTCAGCGCATTTTCCATTCGTTTTTCATATTAATGGTCTTTAACAGCTGTGGCAATCTCCTTTGATTACGGTGGTGTTTTCCAGTACCATTGCATTTTCCATTGATCGGTTTCAGCTGCAAGTTTCGGTGATTGACTGTAGCCACGAACACTGCGCCTATTTCGTAAACGGTCGCCTTGTGGCACCACTATTTCCATGATAGTACTCTACTGTTCCTGTTTTTCATCAACTCATTGCATGATCGGTCTATTTCTCGTTTTCGAATCGTATTCTCCTGGATTTCGTGTAAGAAGTAATTTTAGAAGGTCAGAACTGCATAGTCTGGTTTGATTTTGTATACGCCGGCTAAGCTCTCAAAAGACTTCATTCTAGTACTTTGTATGTGCTACGTAAATTTTTTGAAGTTCCCGAATGTAAACCACCTATTGGGGTCGCGTTGCAAAGCGCTTGAAGAACCGTTGAGTCGTGAAACTGAGAACAGTTCATCAGCCGACCGTTAGCTTCTTCATGATGTTGTTTTTCTTCTCAACAATTCCCCCTTCATTGCGCTTTCCATGTCCATTCAAGACCTTTTGTACATGTAGAATGTAGTCTGCAGTTACTGTCACTATCCATTTCTGCTTTGCACTTGTTGAACATGGGTTCTTTATGAACTAAGTGTTCTTTCGCTTTCACAGTTGTTCTATTAATTCGCTGTTCCTGTAGACGTGAGCCTATAAAAACGAACGATTCATGTGGTTTAGAACACAGCATTTCGTCTTGATGAAAGATTTGTATCTTGCTGGCAAACACATTTGGTTTCCATTCATGATCTGAGTTTTATGCTTTTACATTGGAAGACAGAATTATTTTCGGACTCGTGTGACTCAATTTTTTATCTTTCAGTGGTTCAAAAGGTAACCTTTGCATTTTTTATTAATGGATTTCAGTCTTTCTTTCCAGGCTGCGGTACAGATGCGCAACGATGCGATCGAGATTACTAATCGACTGCCATCTGTCACTCGAACTGAGAAGTACGTCACTTACTAACGTTATTCGTTTTCTTTTTCCATTAGAAAAGAATTTGAGCGGTAGTGTTTTGTTAATGTCAGTTACTCCTATGTCATGCTTTTTTCATGTGTTCGTCATTCTGTGAAGTTGAAAGTTGTTTAGTATGAGTTGAATGTAATCCTTTTGTCGAGTATAGTTGTGACTTTTCTAACAAGTTGAGCTCCTGCTTCTCAGCCGCTGATAGCACGAGATTTCCATTTTTTGATGTTCTTAGCTTCGCTTTACTACACTTGTAATTCTGGGCTATGCCATCATGTGGTTTCTAGCGATGATGTGAGGACTTCACCACCGTCATCCAGCGTCGCGTCATTCTCACGTGGCATGAGTCTCATGCGTCGCAGCTTACGGCGATTGGCAGGGGATTCGTGGCACGGAAGTAGTCATTCGCCTGATTTTCCTACAATGTTTCTTTCACTAGACGCTGCTACCAATTCTGAGATTGAGCATGTCCAGTCGTCAGCAGAATGTAGATGCATTGCGTCCGACACCACCAATGACACCAACATACGACGTGTGGCGACGGTACCATGTCGCCAGCGAACAACGACACACCTTAAACCCAGGTGGGTGGTCCGAAAAATTGTGCAGGCACAATTAGCTATGCACATTCGTATACTAAACGCGAAAGGAAATTAAAACTGATCGTTCTCGCATTTCTTGCAGTCTTAGTCGTTCCTATCCTTTTTTCTGTTATTCTGAATCGCGTAGAGTGAAATGCCGACTTAGTACGTCTATTTGTTTTGTGACTAGGATGGTCAGTGTCTGTGTTAGTGTTTTGTTTATGTATTCTTTTACTATCAAATTACTTTGTTTTAAAGGCTTAAGAGATTAGTGGTTGGAGATGATCGACGCCGCCATTGTATGGGGTCGTTAGCAATATTTATTGCCAATGTATCAAGTCCACACGTTTAACTTAGAATATCTCATTAACGTTGTATTTTAAAATCCTTTTCAATTTTTTCTGGTAGATGCTTGAAGCCATCGTACTATAATATCCTGGTCAAGCCTAAATTGTTTAGAACTGAACATGGTTTCATAGGTACCTCCTCTTATGAAACAGTGCGTAGAATAATCAGTGGGCAACGTCTCACTACCATTTGGATGTTTTGTAGGAATCCTAACGTGATGGTAATGCCTATGCTACCGTGTTCATGAATATCCAACACCATCATTGTCGTCGTAGTGCTTTGTCAAGAACCATGTACGTATTCGTTATGTCAGCTTGGCAGTGTGGAGACGCTTCTGTATGCATACCGTAAACGTCTGATGAATTCCAATGAGCACTGTATGTTTGTTCCCCAGAGTGATGTCTTTTTATGAGTGCTATCGATTTTTGCAGTTTACTGTTTGCAAATTGGTTAAGTTCATAGTTCAGTGTTAATGAGATCGAACTTGTCGTTTTTCGTAAAAATTTCTTCTGTAACCAGATCCGTCGAAGTAGTTTTTAATAGGAAACAAAGCCTAAGAACTTTAGTGTAGTGTAGAAGTGTAAGTTGAAAATTGGTTTTGAAGGGTAGGGATATAAGTGTAAGAGTATATAAGTACAAGTTTTGCTAAGGAGATTACATGTATTAAGCACTCGTGTAGACAAAATGTTAAGGAAGAATCGTTTGGTGTCCACTTAACTCTTATTCTAATGTTCTCACCATAGTTACCATAGCTTGGAACAAGCTTGTATCTTATTCATATAACATTCAACAAAATATAGTTATTGAACTGTAAAAATGGAATATCAGGTTCTCGGAACGAATCTTACCAGTTCTTATCAATGCGCTATTATATTACAGTGCAATGATATACTGTTGTCCTTGCTAAAAGTAAAACCGAAATGTGTTAATATGATAAAAAAAATTTATTTTCACAAGTACGGCAATCACTTTTATCAACGCCTTTTGAGGCATGAAATACCTCTTGTTCAATCGCTTCACCGAAAGAGCTTGCAGCATTTGCGATAAAAGGTTGCTGAAAGTGGAAGAAACTGCTTTGGGCTCTAGAGAATCAGATTTGATCGTTTTAGGATGAAAACTGTGACATCTTTTTAGCTGTGGTTAGATTTCAGTCTTTTCTATTTGTAAAGCTTACAATGAGCTAAGTTATTTACGTTCAAAGTTGAAAGGCTGCTTTTTTATTAGAAGTGGTCCGTACACATCAAAATCACTGATAATTTTGGTGTATGTGTTTACCCTTCGTGACAATATGAGGCATATGCTTCATAGTAGCCAAGAATAATTTCCTCTGTAAGCTTTATACGAATGTATCTCAGTGCGTAGTGAGCTTTATTTGAAATTAAAACCTGTAGAATCTAAAGGTCGTTGCTAAGAAAGGTCATGTTCTTTGTTTTGGATGCTTTGATTTTCTGTTTCTGGAGTCCAATTAATCGTTTTGAAAAGAAATTTTTTAGAAGTTTTGAATTAAAAATCGTGTTTTAGACACTTTATACATCCGCATAGAGTAATAAAGCAAAGTATCTTCTAGAGGTCTGTAAAGCCTCAGTTTCGCAAAAGTTCTTCTAATTGTCAAAAAAATTTTTTTTCGCCAACTTCTTGGAAGTGAGGCGTCGTCTTAAGACGTTAACGCAGAAAAATTTCTTAGAAAAGATTTACTTCTGTGATTTCTTCTCGCCTTCCGTTTCCCATTTTTATGTCCGAATGGGTTTTATGTGGTTAGTAAAACAATTTTCGTTACATAATCATTTCAGTGACATAAAAATTAATCTTCACTCTCAAAAAGTGTTTTTCACTGATTAAAAATTTTAGGACAGGAGACAGAATCGAGAAGAAAAAGGCGAAGACTGGATCTGATACATTCTCGTTCGGAAGTCTTTTTGGAACAAACAAGGGTGGAAGATCGAAGAAGGCAAGTGTTTGTTTTTAAAATATGTGGCACTACTGGAGTTGCTAAAGTTCTCCTAAATAATTATGAAAATAGCTTGTACAATAATAAACGAAACCAATTATCCTGAAGAATAAGTGGATTATAATCAACAACGAAATCCTTGAATCCTTAAACTCTGATATCTTTTCTATTTTTACAAGCATTTTAGTACAGTACTGCAGCTTTCTTTAGTCACACATTCGCATTTCGGCTTTTCATGTCGTTATCAGGAGAATGCCACATATTATTTCTGTTGAATAAGAAATTTTTCCGGAATGTGTTTCAAAATGCCTCGGAGGAGGTACAGTGTTTGCAATATTTGGATGTTCTTTAATCTCATCCTTTTACTTCCTGTCCCTCTTGCATCCTGTCAGTAACGTCATCTGTTCGTGACACACTTCATGTTTCGATTGTTCAATATTGTTTTTGGGTTATATAGATACTGTCTACTTTTTTAAATGTTATTTTATGAATATTTAAAGTCCAGTGAGAAAAACGACGTTATTTGAACCTGTTAGTAATAGAGGCCAAGACCAATGTGCGCCAATATTTGCGCTGACCGCTCCGATGAATAGAGCGGAAAAGTTGTGATTTTTTTCACTGCGTTCGTAATCTTTTCGTTGACATATTTGCAGCTTTTTCGTATTTCTCAAGCGCTGATCTGATGGTGAGTTTTCAGAAAGTGTCTATAGATCGAAGTTTGGAAACTGTTTTATCGTCTTTCCAGTCTAAAGCGGGCTCAGGTGTTGCGATCTCATTGCCTACGGTATGTTTTAGTTTTATTTTCACCCAGCTCGTGCTCGTTTCTGGCGTCATCTCATATTTTTCTTTAGTCGGTATTGTGGGTTTCATAGCCAGCTTCAATACTAACATTTCCGTGTTTTGAAATCCGAGACAACAACAATTTTATTTGGTTCATGCTACTTTTGCGTTTTAGTCAACCACTTTCTCCTTAGGATGTATAGCTTGGCACTTCTATGGTAGTATTACGGCTTCTTCTAATCTTGATAATACCGATATGCTTTTGTTTTTCCTTCCAGGAACTTCTTATTATTGCCTATCAATTGACCAGCAATGCACTTATTTTAAATGATTTTGTGAATTATTAATTCTTACTAGTCTGGCTTTTTCCATGTCTCTATACAATATTGCCGAGTTTTTTTTCCACTCCAGCGTCGAATGGCTTCGTCAAGTGAATTTCAACAAAGTCGCCTACCTATTCCCGATTTTGAAGGTTTGCTGATTTTCATTCTCCTAGGGGAATTATGTTAAATAGGTTCACCCACATTTAAGTTTTTTTTACTTCACCTTTTTCACCATCGAGCTTGCTAGTTGTCAGCATTGTTTTGTGGTTAAGGGTTATTGAGAAAGTCATCTACATCGTAGGGTACAGGGTACGTTGGATTGCCTACAACTGACATAAACTCACACTCTGACTGGAAAGGTGGATTGCATTGACTCATCATCTTGCATTCGTCGCCATAAGTTTGCCTCTGTCCAAAATTTTGTGTTGCCAACTTTCTTTTTTTTCTCCTTTTTTCTGTTCGTCTACAAATATTAGAGGAAAAAATCAGAAACGAATTTTTGCTGATGTTTTTCTCTGCTGCCTTCATTTTTGTGAATTTCCTTTTCATTTCACTTAAGAGATCAGGTCAGTTCACTGTCGATGTTTTCTGTTAGTTAAAGAATTAGAAGAAAAATTGAAACGAATTTTAGCATTTTTGATTGTAGAATGAAGGCACTAGCAGGCTTTAGTGAAACGACATTTTTTCGAACGAAAATGACCTTTTAACTACGTTTTAGGTCAAGCAATTTTTGAGTTAACCGTAAAAAAACTGATTCTACTCGACTTGTTTTAATCATCGTCAATGGTCTGAACAAGAAAACGACGCATTTGTAATCCAATGCCGAGGTTAATAGTAAATCGTTGCTGGGAATCGTCAGTGTGGTGTACCTGATACCATACTTCATTATTTTCGACGGTGTTCAATCATCGAACTGTTAAATGACCATGTTCGGTTGCCTAAGTTTTTGTATTAACCATCTTATTTTTTATCCATAACATTGGAATGAATGTAGTGAGATTCAGTCGTTGCCTTGGAATTACATTTCACAATTTTTTGGAAAGTCGCATAAAAATAGATTGCTGAAGACAAGAAAAAAAATTGTGCTGTACGGTTTTCTTCTACACATTCATTCACCTATTCCACTGTATTTCTAAAAAGTTTGGTATTTGCTTACACTTTTGATCCTTTGTTGCTGTTAGAGATATTTTTCGTACGAAAATTAAGAAACAAGTGAATGATCTTTTTTTCATAGTGATATAGTTGACTCAGAAGTGCTATGCTCTTCGACCGATTTTCAGGACTCTTTAGAATACATTTGGATATTTTCGTAAATTAATGTGGTTGAGAAAAATTGCGGGAAGAGTAAAACATAACTCCTTGTTTATTTTTCGGCGAAATCACTTTGGAAATTTAGTTCCGAATACAAATGATGACAATTCCCTTTTTATTTGGGTGAATTTGAGTTCATCTTAAAGGTTCTACGTTGGCTTCAGTGGAATGAAGTACCTAAGATATAGCATTGTTGTCAACTGTGTGCATGAAAGAATGATTCCTTATATTTAGCTGATGCAAGAGTAATGACAGATTTTGAACTGCTTTTTTTTGTAATGCTATAGGTCAGCTCTGTGGGGAGCGTTCAACGAAGTGATCAGAGTTGCCTTACAATACACGTGGGATCGATTCCAGCGCCCTGGGTTCACAAAGCCTTCCATCCCTCCGGGGTCGGCAAATTGATACCAGACTTGTCTAGGAGGACAGCAGTACTGGCTCGGTACATCGGTAGGCCACTGCGAGTCATTGTAAATACCACATATGCATTCAGTAACTTCCAAACGAGGCTTAATGAAGTCGAATACATGGCGCATCCATCGATGAGCGCCGAGAGCTTTATCCTTTATAGGTCAGCTCTAAAGCGACTTTTAAAGTGATGGCATATGATCGAATGTTGTAATGCATGATTGAACCTTTTCTACTGACCAAGGCTGGAGTGACCCACTGCGATGTTTGGTGCATTTCGAAAGGGAAAAGTCATCATAATCAAATTTTTATGCAAATTAATTGTTAGCTCGACAAATTCGGTCCAAAAACTAATTTAATTAAGCGGCATCGGTTGTTGCCTGGGATCCAATTTTCATCGTAAATGTTGGTCCTCCTTTCGAAGCCCACTCAACTAGTTTTCGAAGACGCAGCTCCAATTGTTGGTTTGAGGTGATCCTCGTCAACTGCAGATACGTGTCCACGACATTTTCGTTTATAAGCACACACATCTCATGCGAAACTGTACAAGGAATCCATGCATTCTGTGCTCGCAAGCACTCTCAAGCAAAGCGAAGCCATTTTCATAACTTGAGAAAGTCATTTTAACCAGCCGAAATTTATTATAAGTGTTAGAAATAAAGCTACTTGGTCAATAATGAATCAATAATGAGGTTAGAAGTAAGCTACGAAATGATGAGAGTAAACTCTATATAAAACATAGTTCTTGCAAAATTTGTTTGCAAACCCAACAAATACTACAATGATGGCCGTTATTTTCTGTGCCGATTTGGTACTTATGATCAATTAATTTATAATGCTCAGTGATGGACCGATTAGGGGTGTTAAAAAGATGGGATTGTAAGACTATAAAATTCTTCTTGATCAGTTAAAGCGTATGGGTTTTTGATGGGTGAATGGGTGTGGTTGTTAGGACTCGTATAAAAGTTGTTTGAAACATCACCTAACTTGTTGTCAGTTTTTCTGGGAAGTCAAGTGTTGGAGACAAAGTGGTTTGCAGATTTACCGAATAAAGTTGCCAGTCCCCAAATCGCCAACGAATTTTGCGTCATCATTATTGTTACTATTACTGATTATTATTAGTTATATAATGATTTGTATAGTCGCAATGTCGAGATGTTTTCTTTTTGCCTTATCGCGTAACCGATGACTGCATGATCCTCTTCATTCCGTTGTTGGTGCGATCGGAAAGTTTTATTGGCAATATCCCACTCAAATTATGTTTTCTCTGTCAACATTCGTTTAGGTAGGTTTTGTTTTATGGATGAATTAAGACCACGCCCATTGCCATTATATGGCGCTTCCGTTTTGCGCATCTGTGAGCTAACGTTTTGTGAAGTAATGTGATTATTAAATGACTTCTGACATTGTTTTTTGCGTTAACTTACCTTCTCCAGTCACTGGACGCCGTTATAGTCTTTGTTTCCCAGGTGTTCACATTACCTTATTTTAAAATATGATGAATAATCGGGTGAATACGTCTTTCTTACGAACCACTTTGGAGGCGTTTCATTTGCGGTAGTAAAGCAGTCCGTTTAGTTATGAGACGAAGGAGGATAATTTCCGTTCAGAAGCTTTGTGGAAAAAAATTAGTTTTCAGTGAAGAAAAAACCTAGCAATTTCGATAAAACTAAGGAAAGTGCTTTCTTTTTAATGGGAAAGGCTTAACGAATTTTTATAGTTTATATTCGTAAATTTTTTTGATTCAGAGCAGTTCATTTTGGTGTACAACTATGAAAACATGTTGACAATATCCTATCATTTCGGAAATTTTATTTTCTATGAGGTGCAATTTCACGAACGTGACGAGTCGATGCAGCGTCAGGCCGTCAGGTCTTCTTGTAAGAAGAACCTGATTCTTTACACTGGTAGTCAAAGTTGTGTTGAGATGTTAGAGTGCATCAACAATGGTCTTGATAGTTTCATTTATCAGCCTTTCACTATTCGCCTTATATTGTTCCTTATACTTAGCCATCTTCCGCTCGAAAATGTTTCTAGCACTTTACGTGTGTTTGCTTTTCTTGGGCAAATCCTTAGAGTAAGCAGGCTGTCATGTTTTGGTTACTTTTAAAGCCTCATCCTAAGGTACTTTGAAAGTAATGCAGTCATTTTGAAACACTAAGCTTCTTTAGGAGAACGTTTACTATAGTAGCAGCTATCTGTTTGCGTTATTGGAGTTCCTTATAGAAATTTCATATGTCTTGAAATTTTCAAGTATAAGTAAAAAATACCCTTTAATATTTTTGTAGCGATAGTTTTTTTTTTCCGAGCTCTCGTCCTATTACAACAAGTTGTCGAAAATAGATTGAATTAACTCCAGAGCTCGAAAAAATGTTGTCTCGTCAAACGTTTTGAAGGAAAAGTTTTTTCTTTTTCGTTGAAGTAATCGGCTAATTATGCTCTTCACCGGCTTTACAAATTCAGTGCACTTGTTGCTAATCGAGTTCACTGAAGCGCGAGTTTTCATCCCAGAAATCCATTCCGTAATGGTGATGAGTTTATCCCATATGGATGCTGACCAGAACTCTTTAAAAGTGTTAAAATAGAATCGATATTTTACATTATTTGCGCGGTGTAAACCGTTCACATGTTCTTTTAAGCTTAAAGATGTTGAAGTGGGTAGAAAAACGGAAATTTTCGGTAAGGTTAATTATCCATCATTAGGTGATTTGTAGCTTAACGTCGCAGTGCTGGATGTAAACTTACTTGTTCATTGCTTGATAAATAAGTTCCAGATATTTTCGAAAACTAACCGCTCTTAATTTAAAAGTCAGTTTTGGTCATAGTTTGGTTGTCAAGAACTGGTTCTCCTATTCTTTTTGAGAAATGTATTCTGTCACTCTTGTTTTTCGTACTTACCTATTTGATAACTAATTTGACAACTCTGTGTCTATTTGACTACAGACATTCGGAGAGTGATGCACTTGCTCCGATGTTCGTAGACCTTGCTGACGAGAAGACCTTCATTTTGTGGAGAGTAACGAATTTAATTTATCCAGATTTGTGGGAATTGCCTTCTCTTCGCTGTAATCTTTTCTACCTTCTAACGAAAAAACTCCATTCAGTATATGAAAATGTTGTTTAGCATTTAGAAATTCTTAGCTTCAGTGGACGTCACAATCATAGTTTTTGCATTTACTTAGCGCTTATTAAGTTCTCCGTTTTCTATGCTTATTCATAATATGCTTTCCTCACTTTACACTCTCGAGTTTCTGTGACATATTTTTGGCAGCGTTAGCAGTGTTCAGTGTAGACATAGCATCACTGTCGTCTTCACGAACAGCCATGTCGACTTCAACAGCTTCGCCGTCGTCACGTTTTGAACTGAATACAGGCGACAAGTGCTATCAACGAAACGTCTCTCTTCCGTCCTTGGCGGCCACCGTTGAATTTAATCAATTTCATCGTCGTGCGGGTTTTTCTGAGAAGTCGTGGTTGCTGCGGCATTTCACCAACTTGCTGGGATGGTCACACTTAGAAGGCGGAGTTAGTGATGTGACGAAGAGTAATGGAACATACTGTGAGACACATTCTGATGGAAGCTCTACGAAATCCCGCTTAACGTTGTACGAGCCCTCCAGCTACTGGATGATGGACGATGAGTGTACTGTCGACGCGTCGATTGTCTACAGGCAACAGCTTCGTTCCATTCTCCGGGAAAAGCCATCTTTGTCTGATATTTTCGAGACAGACATCAACTTTCTCACGAGATCTCTATCAGAAGGTGATCTGCGTCGTGTAGATGAAGAAAACAATGTCAATGAGTCTAGAGACGTTTTTGGCCGATATGGCCTTTTGTCATCGGATTTCGGAGGTTCGTTAAATTTAGCGTATGTTAAATTCTCATACCGCGCCATCTGACGAAAAATCTTAACTGGTTCAGAAACACTCTGCATTCCTGAAGGAACAGTTGTTGGAGACGAAGTATGCTACATCACTGGTGCATTTTTGGAAAGTCTTGAACGTCCGAATTCGGAATCGGTTTCACTTACGGAGACAGAAACTCATGAGTCATCACCAACCACCGTACGCTTGAAAAGAATTGAGGAACATGGACGACATATGTCTTTGAATGATGACTTAAACGAAGAGCTCGAAGATAAAGATGTGGAACAAATGGATCAAATGAGTACGGTTCTGCCACGGAAACGCAGCAGGGGCGTTTCTGCAATCATATTTGAGAGGTTGACTAAACGAAAATCAAAACAAGGTGTTCCAGACCTGAAACTGAAGCGCGATTCATTCAAAGGTCAGTTTATTGATTACGCTTGTTTCATCGGTTATCAAGTTTAGGTTTTTTGATTCAGTTTTGCAGTAACACTGTTCATGATCAATGCCCAGTGAAATTTGTAAATATGGAACATGCACGAAACAAGCTGACAACTTGCGACAGATCTTAAAGCTTTATGAATGAGCACTTTACGCCAGTATTTATACCACGTTTAGGACTCCCAGAACACCTTTCTAGTGCGCTCTTACTTTCCAATGAAATAAATGACGTTGATTCAGTGAATTTCGATTTGTCGGAATCACCAAAATATAATTTGTGAGTTTTAGATGGTCTGGGTTTTTTTCTTTTTTTTTTGAGATGTAAGAAACTTATGTTTTTCAAAAATGACCAAGTTAATACTCGACTGACAAGAAATTAAAAGCAAGTACTATTGCTATTATTATTGATTGTTGGCTTCAGTGTTCATGGAGTTTCTATAAAGGTGGTCAAAAATCATTTGAAAAATTTGCTTCATTCCACTTTTTATTTCTTTCTGATTTTAAGGAACCAACCTCTATGGGCTCGTTTCGATTTATTTTCGAAAGACGAGTACACTTCTTGGCATGACAAATATCGTCATGACAAAATGAATACAAAGGTTTTGAAGAAACAGGATGCCATTTTCGGTAAAACCTTCACTTAGCCTCTACTTTATGGATTTAAGATGTATTTTTTGTTTCTTTGTTTCTTTCCTGCATTGTGAAAGTTCACTATAAGTACAAATGTCCGTATTCCTTATTCGACCACTCACATTTCAGAGTTGATACTGATCGAAAAAGCCCACTGTTCACACCTTGCTTTCCTGCAACAGGTAGTTAACGGATTGTTCATTTTTTTCACTAGTCATAGAGTATTCCCTTACCCCTAGACGTGTTTACACTTTTTCCAGTTTACATTCAATTGTATATATCGTTGACCTATGGTTCTGATAGTCTAAGTCGGATTTTAGGGCTACCGAAATCGGCTCATCCAAGAAAACATTCTACCCGAGGCAGATGTTGATCGATTGATACCGGATGTATTGGATGCGTTGTTGGTCTTCCATTTGAACTTATTAGATCGCCTAACAGCTCGACAACGAGAATCTGACGAAGTTGAGACGATATCGGATATCTTGACAGAGGAGGTTGGTGGACGTTTCTCGGTCATCAATATACCTAAATTGTTGTTGCCAATTCCGCCACAATGGCATAGCTCCTAAAATTGCCCTGCTTAGGCAAGTGTCACCAATGGCTTTTGTTCATAAACTCTAGTGTGCTTGTACATGAATTTGGCCAGCGAGTGTTTTTAATCACGTTTTCTTGTACTCTAATAGTAGATGTGTTGATGTGTACTCTAGGAATCGCGATCTTTTCTCATGCTTTTTTCAGTTGTCTGATGACGGTAAACACATCGGTATCGCAGTGAATGCCTATACAACATTTGGCTCGGCGAAAGAGCGCTCAGAAAAGATGTTTGAATCGTTGATGACTAAGAATGGACGGTTTGCTGAATTTATTCGGGTAAATATTTTAATTGCCTTTTTTCATCGCTATCCTGTTTGTACAATTCGCTTCTTGGCCACCTCTTAGCTTTACTGGATTTCTCTTGTATAATTTTTCTGCGGTTCCTTTATTGCATTAATAACTTCGTATACATCTTTGCAACGTATTACATTTAAATAAAGAAGCGGATCAAGCGTTCGGCGTTGAGCATTGTCCGAGGGATGTCCCATGCATTTGACGTCATCGATCTGTTCGAATGCATGTCTGGCCTGTATAATGAATGACTTGCGGTGGCTTACCAATATATGATGTCGGTGTTGTTATCGTTCAGACAAGTCTGCTACCACTATTTCTATCCCAAAGGGATGGAAGGCTTGATGAACGAACTCAGGACGTGAGGTTGAAACAGCGACCACGTGTCTATTGCGAGGCATCACAGCCATTGGACTACACTTGCCCCATTATACGCTTTACATTGCAATATGAATGGAAGTCTAGGAACCGTTATCTTCAATCTCCACAGTATGGATTGCTACTTGCTTAGATACTTCTACGGCCCACTGTGTCGAGTAGTGCGGCCCTCAGCACATTTTCTGTTCGTTTCCTTGTCTCGCAATCGTCGCCCATGGTGGTCGTTTGCTTCGACTATGGTGGCGTGTGCGAGTACCATATTGTGTTCTGTAGAACGCCTGCAATTGCGCGAGTACAGCTAATTAACTTAGTGATTGCCCGTCAGTGAAGAAGTGCAAATGTCCTGCATAAAAAATCCATGTTCATCTGGGAATTTAATTGTCCCAGTACGACGCAACATTCTCATCATTTTTTTCTTAACACATTTGTGAGAAAAGCAATTCTAAAATGAATCAAAGGTGTCTACTAGTGCATCGAAGTTGATGCTAGCTTACGGGGTTCAGATGTATACAGAAAGCATATACACCGATGATGATTTCCTTGAATTCTTTCTTCGTTTTTCGGGAATTGCTAATGAAGATAAAACACTGCCAAAGGAGATTAGTGATATAAGAAAGAGAACGTTGAATATCACCGCTAAAATAGGAGAACTTTCGCTGTAATCTGTAGAGCTGGTATATTAGAACGGTTTGAGGTAGATGGCTAATTAACCTCAAAGCCACTTTCTTACCTTGGGCGTTTAGTGAAAATTTAAACCGATGTTGTGAGAAGGTGTTCAAAACAAGTGGAACAGCACTAACCATCCGCAATCGTCTGAATAACATACCGACCTGAAAAGCTTAAGCACCTCAACCACATCGACGTCGTTGAGAATCTGGGCAGCATAGAGAACTAGGCATGGTTCGTTAATTAACTTATGTTGTGTTTCGTTGTTATATCACTGTTGAATCTAATTTATGACGTCCTTGAGAAGCAGCCTTGAGGAAGCAAGATTCTTCACCCAAGGTCCATATGTATATCTATCTCTTCAAAGCTTCAAAATGGGAGTTTGGAGAAGGAATGGTGGTTACAATATCAATATATCGTAGTTAAATCATTCGACAAATATTCCGTTTTCGGGATCGGATATGTTGTACTTCTGGGAAGGAGCACGGTGTAAAACGAACCTCAGTAAGATGCAGGAGTCATCGATTGTCCTGTTTGAATATAAATTTTTGCTGTTTTAGGGCGTCGTTGAGGATAAAGGCGACATGTCAAACTTCTTAAATGAGCGTCTTAAACCGTCTTAAATTGATTTACTGAATTGGATATGGGAATAGTGATTAATTGATTGAAGTCGTTGTAACATCATGGTTCTGTTTCCCTTCAAAATTGGATACCGGATTTTGAGAACGTTGATGTAAACACGGCTCTGTTATGTTCTTTGTAAAGAAATTCGTAGTAGTATCTCGGCATCATTGAAGTTATATTTCGCAACATACGCTACTCATTAAAAAGAGTAAGCGGTAAATAATAAGTTAAAATTTTCATTTTAGCTACAGCCTCAGCTTAACTGGGTTCATTGCCGTTTGGGGCTCCATAGATCGATCCCAATGACGGGTGATTGCTGACGGCACAGATCGATAGAACTAGCTGAGAGACAGGCGAAAAGAAGGACCTGCATAGTGTAGTGGAGAACACGTTAGCTTCCGGAAAGGACAATGGCGCATTCGTTCCCCACCACAGACACCTGCGGTCCGGAGTTTTGCAAATATCTCAGCATCGTTGAAGTTGTATTTCGCAACATACCCTGCCATTAAAATGAATAGGAAGTACGTAATAAATTAAAATTCGTAGTAGTTTTCGTGACAACTTTTTCCTCTGTCAAATGGGATTTCATTAGAAATTGCCACGCAGAAATCCTTGAAATTTCTTGTAATGTCTTAGTGCTGTCTTAGGCTTATTTGACATTGTTGATTTTCTCCGTATTTCCATTATTAGAGTGGAAGGAAAATTACTTGAGACGACCTCCTAACATGTTTTTCACTCTCCAGTGAGCTTAGTGTTCAGTGATAGAGAATAGAATTTAATTTCCTTTTATCTTTTCGAATATCAAAGGAGCGGTACCGCACAAATTTAAAGGTCGCGTTATGTTTCATTCTTCATGTCATCTAACGGTTCTGATATTTAGGCATCGGCACAAGATCCGATGTATCGTCGATTTGAATTCAAATCGATAATGACAAGAATCATTAGTCGGCCAGCAAAGTATGGACTATTGGTGGAGACGATCCTTAAGAACGAGTGCAACAAATTCACTAAGGAGTGGGAACTTACTCAGAAAGCACTCTTTGTGAGTCCTTTACAAGTCATTAAAGCGTTTCAAGTAGGTTTACAAGGGCAAAAATTTTTACATCGAACCAAGTAAGTTATTTGGTGTGTTAAATGTTTTATCGCTTTTGGATGTTAGCATTGACGTAGTAATCTGCTGTTGCCTAGAAGAAGCTCTCTAAGTTAATGATGAGATAAAAGTTGTCTTGGAAGTATTTCTAGACCATATCCTTTAGTTACTGAGTTATTTACTATTAGCGATATGGAACTAAAATTTTCATGGAAATTTCTAATCTCTCGGAGATACGCAGTAATATTTAACACTCACCGAGACAATGTAATTAGTTTTCGACCTTCGTACATAGTAAAAGCATGTGGATGTTGTCCTAAAGTACCTTAGTTTTGTAAGTTTGAGGGACAAATCGAGTACTGTATGGGGCATACGTAATAATTTATTGTTTCTAAGTGAAGTTGACCCTGAAAGTGTGTGCTTGATGAGAGCTAAGCCTCATCGTTTCGCTGCATCACAGCGTGCTCGTTTTCGTTATTGACAACACTAGTACGACTTTTTTACTTGCTGAATGAGTTATTTTCATAGGCGGCGAAGCGTTTTGCTATGAAGATCGACAACAACTTGCTAATGATGCAAATGGCTCAACGATGGGATGACGTACGATCTCATTTCGATCTTTCAAGTCATACCAACTTGTACATTATTGACAAGGAGAAGCCATCCGGTGTTGTGCGAATCACATTTACCGTGCGTTATTTATCTCACATAATTTCTTTTGCTTTCTATTTCGTGGCCTGAAGCGTATTTGAACTGAGTCTCAGTAGGGTTTCTCCATTTGCTAAGTGTTTTTTCAGATGGAAGATCTCGACATCGATGTGAAGCATCCAGGATCTGGACAGAGGCGATTAATGTGTCTCGGAGATGTTTGTATGAAAAATTCACGTACAAAAACCGCTGAAAAAGGTGATTATGTGTTTTCGAAATATTTGTAGAGGAGGTGTTAATTTTTTACACCAGACGTTAAGATACTGCGCCATATGTCAAGCAAGCTAATATAATATAAGTGAAAAACAACAGAAGGAGAAGAGCAATTTTTGGAACATTCTATATTAGTCAGGTTGCTTACCCCTACTATTTGTCATTTCCTTCAAAATCATTTGGTAGGATCAGTTGGTTTGGTCATTCCAATATTGTTTTTTTCCAAATGCTCGGATTAGTTTTACGAATGTGTGGTGAGATTTCTATCGTCTTGATTTGCCAACTAAGCTGCGTTAAGAAGAGAAAAGTTTCTACTAAAAGGATAAAGTATAAAGCTCTCGGCCTTGATCAATCCTTGAGGGATGCGCCATGCATTCGACTTCATTATGTATCGTTGGCGGTGATTGAATGCATATCTGGCCTTTACAATGAATCGCGGTGGCCTACCGATGTATCGAACCGGTGCTGCTATCTTTCCAGACAAGTCTTGTACCAATTTACCGAACCCGAAGGGATGGAGGGCTTGGTTGGCCATGAGCGCTGGGATCGATTCCACGTATGTGTTGCAGGGCCCCTTTAACCACTGTGCCACTCGCGCCTTTTTTCTTAAAGCTTTCTATTTGCACGGAAAATTTCTGTACAGTAGGTTGCTCATTCTCTATATAACACTGTTCTTTAATTTTTTCACGTTTCAGTATTTATGGTGTTATTTGATGATATCCTTGTGTGCCTACAACGTCGCAATAACCACCAGAAATACGTGTTTATTCAACAGGTAGGGAAGAACTTTCTTTTTACTTGCGCCTTTTTTGTTCTTAAATTGCGTCCTTTATTGTTCTTTGTAAGTATTTTGTGTACTAAGTTAGCTGTTACTGTGTGAGCGATGTCCTAAAAGTGGAATTCTTTCGAACTGATTATCGACTATCCTTTTAGTACTACATTTTCACTATTCTTCGATTTCTAAAGCACTTATTTAACATCATCGAGGAAGTGGATAAAATGTAAATGAATGTTTTAGGACCAATCGGTATTTCCTGTCAGTGGCCTCATTTTGCGACCGGCTGATCGAAGCGCTTCAGTAATGATCATCTCGGGTGCGATCACCAAGCCGGCTCTGTTAGAAGTGGAGTTCAACTCTAAGACAGATCGGACAAAATGGATCAAAACACTCGAGTCGGCCATTCATAACGCTCCGGCGAAAGGTGGGTTCATTGCTGTTGACACATGACACTACTGTTCACCTGTCAGCTGTTAATGTGTGTTTTTGAGCGGAAAATTAGCGAATGACTAGTAAAATCGCTGGCAGTTCGATCGACAGCATTGCGATTCGCTTTGAGAATGTTAACTGATGGAGTGTTTTGAACACCGAAACGTTGTTCGAGACTCTTTCCTTTCTTGAGATCTCCATTAGTGAAGATATAGCTGTAATTACTATTACTGTATTATCACTGCCCACAGCGCGTTGTTAGAGAGGGTCAGATAGCACGTAACATCGATGTTTACACTTTTTTTGAACGTTATGGGTCTTTCCTGGCTTGAAAACTCAATTTGTGAGGGTATAGGTATAATTATTACAGCCACAATATATGGTTAACAGATAACGCCTGCTGTGGACAAAATAGTCTCCATATTGTCCCAAGTCCAGAGGACAATATCGAGACTATGGTGTCCACTTTCAGTTCACTGCTTTCCACAACCGTTTTACCACATTATATATGTATATATATATATATATTCATTTGATAGATAACTGGAAATAAAATTGAAAATATAAAGGGTGAGATCAGAGAAGCTGTTTTTTATACTTAATGTTTTACAAAAAACCTATCATCGGAAAAGTTCGCTGACTAATACTTTAACTAGAAATTTAATATTTTTTCATTTTAATCACTATTTCTATTGTATAGAAGAATGTGCTGATATAAAAAACACCAATATAGGTTCAACATAAATTGTGAAGTAAGTACTTCCACCTGCTGACAGCAGTGTATTTGCGTGATAGACGTGAGTAGCAGCATGCATATCATTCATACCCATAAAACGGTAGAGCAAGATCTGTTCAATAATACTCTTGCCTCTCGCAAAGCCTAAAGCTCTCTAGTTATCAAAAAGTTATTTCTAGGATACAATAGCTGACGTTTCGGCGGTTTCGCCTTTTTCAGAGCCGTTTATTTGCTGTAAGTATTTAAGTTAATTAATGGATAGCAGCCGCACGTCGCCCATGTATTACTCTGTGCGGCTGCTTATCCATCAACTAACTTAAATACAGCAAATGAACGGCTCTGAAGAAAGCACAACCGCCGAAACGTCGGCTATTGTATCCTGATAAATTCTATAATAACAACGTCGTGTCTGCTTATTGAAGAAAAGCATCGAATTATCAATCAATGCCGAGGTTAAAAGAAAGTCGATCATAGGAAATTATTTCTAGTTGTCAAAAAACCTGAAATTTCGCAGGCGACGAAAAAATGCTCGTATTCCGCTGGGCCAACCGCGTTAAACGCAATGCGTCCGTTATTAGTTAAAGAAGTTCGGAAGTTCTTGTTTTAAGATAGTTTTATGCAAAAAATATTAGGAATTGTCTTGAAACAGTTCTGATAAACTTCAAAAATGGAGATGTAAGTTGGAGTGAGAAACCAAACAGAATAGGAAAACTCAGTGCTATCAACTCTGAAATTTGCCTGAGTGAGAATTTCGACATCATTTGTGAATCTCTTATTCTTTGTAAATGACGAGAGTAGGTGTTTGGCAATGCTTTGCCAAGTTTAATTACTTTGATTACATAGAAAAGAGTCGGATTTTTATTGCATGACCAGTCATCACATGTACTTGGAAATCCAAGCGCTGCATCCGGTTCGTCTTCCTCGCTTTCATGGTCTACAAGCTCTTCGGACATTTCGCGTGTTGTTTCGGCTGACTCATAGAATCCTTTTCGAGTCGCGTTTCCTTGTAATCTTAGTGGTAGCCTAGCTCTGAGCCAAGACGTTCTCACGTGAATTGGAGCGGTGTATTTGAGAGGGGTCGAACCAGTATCGTGCTTCATGATTGACTACATCACCTGGGCTGTCTCACGGTCCATAGACTTTTCTAGGCGGTTCTGGTAGCTGTGTTTGCTAATACTTAAACAACATATCTAAGTAGGAGTGCTTGTGACAAGTATATAACATCAAGCAGCATTTCGTGCTTCAAAAGTCCTCTGTTACTAAATGGTGTTTTCCTCTCCATGAATGACTTTATTTTTTCCTCGGCATTTATGAATAGATCGGTTTTCTTGATGTGTTACTTCTAAATCTGTTATAAATCTGTTTCAATGAACACTAGCATGTGCATGTTCTAAAATTGTTGAGGCTTAGCATGTTTTTCGTAAATTATACTTCCGCTGAGGGTTTAAAAGAGTGAGCATTCGTTAAAGAGTGGCACTATTTCACTATGTGCTTCAGTTTCAACCGTATTTCCTCTCGGACATCGGTCAAGGGTGGAGTGCCACCGTATTCGTCTTTTTCTGTTAGAACGAAACAGAACGTCTTTCTGTTTCTGTCTTCAAATTCATTCGCACTCTGAGAATGGGTCAATGCCTTCCGAAAGGCATATACGGATTTGCTTCTTTTACAGAGGCGTTTTTGTCAAAGGATAAATCGTGCTTGTCTTTGATCGAAGTTTACGAGACTGGAAACATTCGCTGGAGAATTTTTTCGAGTACCAGTTGTCGTTTGGCCTTTTTCCGTGTTCTGTTGGGCTCTAATGAGATTAACGAAGTAGATAAATTGTTATACGAGAGAATAGGAAGCTCAAGAGCAGAAATTTATTGACTATTTCGTTTGAAGTGAAATTCTTTAAAGAAGAATGATAAAGTATTAGCATATTCTCGACGGGTTTTTTATTATTCCAAAGTTACTGGTTTCTATGATGTAACTTATATATTAGCCTCGTAGTGGTCTACCTCCTCACCATGGCTGGGAGGTCTTCCTGGGTGTCGGGCTGCGATGTGGAGCGGAGGATTCATCCCCCAGCAGGGACTTTCAAGTTGAGAAGGAGTTCGACGTTTCAATCAGGAATCCTTAGTAATAGTAAACCATTGCCATGATCCACCACCGTTTTACTATCAAACTTGTCGAATGGTGGCAAGTTTCCCTCTAATTCACAAGAGCTGCGACTACCTGTGGTTGTGACGACCTGGGGCAGACTTTGGCCAGGCTGACCTCGGGGTTACAGGGAGCCACATTGGCTAAAGCAACAGATCTCCGAAAAAGTGAAAGTTATGCTGGAGCCCGCACAATATTGAGGATGGGTCATCCAAGTATCCAAGAATATATTATCCGTGGTTGCTTTCTATCATAGTTGTTTCCTTTACATAATTTAAGAGTAGAAAGCTTTTTCGCATAACGCGATTTATTATTTCATTGCGATTAGAGGTTTCAGTTGTGTCGATCATTCTGGAACTGTTCGGTAGCGTTTTTCAGTCACTGATTTCCTTTCCTGTCGAACTTTTTTCTTCTCAGTACTACTGCTGTTCTTTCTAGTTCGTTTATCACCACGAAATGAAGACGAAGCCGCGCGTCAACTTGAATTGGAACGCCAATTGCAGCTGAAGCAACAAAAAGAGGCTGAAGATGAATGGTTGCGGAAATTAGATGAAATGTTTGGTGAGAATCTTGTAGTTTTCAATTTAAGATATTCTTTTTTCAGTAACAGTGGGGGTGTTGTTTATTTTTATGACCTGCATTACCATATTATCAAATGTATTACGTCTAAGAAGACTACCCTTATGTGGGTCCGCCTTTATGAAGTTCGATAGCTCTGAATATAGCAGTTTCTTTCTTTTCTCGTGAATATCGTTTATAAAGGTGGTGATTATAATCACCGTATTGTCAGTGATGAATGTTTACTGTTCCAGAAGTATTACCCAGCTGTAAATACAACGCATCAGTGTGAACTACGAACATATTCTCCCACCTTGGATATGGGCGAGAGTCAGTGGCTTCTTTGACGAGTCCAAAGACAGCCTATGATACCCTTTTTCTCTTCGTGATTTTTTCCTTGATATTGTTTTTCATGTTTATTGAACGGCGTCAATAAACAAAACTTGTTCATAGTCACCTCGTGCAGGCTGAACAATCTGAAAAGATACCGAACACAAGTAGATCTCTGTAGTAGCGCTAGCCGTCCATCTCAATTCATTCTTCGTCGCATCAGAGGATTTTCGTCAAGTAATGAGTGCTTATTCGCATTTATTTGCGCTCTTCTCTCTCACTTAGCTGAGCTTTTTAGCGCCTTCTCTATTTCACTGATGTTTCTGGAGGGAATGAAAAAGGAAATCCAATGAGAGTTCTCATTAGCGTGTGCAGTTGCGTCTAAGTTGTTTGAATTGATTAGACATTGTGATGATACGGCGATCAACTCTGATTTACTTCTCATATTTTTCTTGTGGTGGGTGTCGTGGCCTTCGGTGTCGTGTTTGAAGTATAGTTGAATTAGCAGGTGACTGGATGTTTTATTTGAAGCGGATGCCCTTAGTACAGAAGTGCAGGTAGTCCTGTGTTATCATGCTCCCTCGTCGATATATGGCAAAGGATGGTTGGCGCAAAAGTCGCTTTTCTTCTCGAATAACTTGCTTGCTATTGTATATCCCTCCCCCCTCCTTCCCTCCCTCCCTCCACCCCAAAAAGAAAATTAGAAAAATTGAAAGGTTAAGTAAAAGTCGAGCAAAGAATCTCATGCAAAAGTAAGGGAAAAAGGTAAATTATTAGATGGGATTTTTAGTTCTCATTTCCTCAAATTGAGAACACATCTAGTTTGACCTCACCACCTGTCCATGATGGTTATCGATTGTTGGTGAAACTTTTTAACACGGAAGTTGCAGGTGGAGAATAGTCAAACGAAATGATAGATTCTCGCGGGGGTATGTTTGGTCAATAATCAATGGCTTCACAGCAGCAAAATTAACTCCGCTAGTGTTCGTTACATCACGTTCTGTCAACAAAAATAAGATTTTCGAACAGATGGCTGAAGTACTGGTGCTCTTGATGATGTCATGCGTTACCCTGGAGTTTTCCTCTACCTCTACATTCGGAAAATCGCGGCATTCGATATTACAAAGTACCGAGCTCGGAGAATAAAAGTTTATTGAAAATAATACTTTCGTGGCTTCCGACGGAATTCGTGTTATCATCATCTGTTACTGATTGTGCTACCAAGTCTCAGAGGACACTATACGTTTTATTGGCTCTAATTTCCACGGCTTAAACCGAAGAAATGGCAGCGCCTCACATAGATTGGTTGGATTCTGTTTCCTAATAAACTGTCGAAGGTGCTTGTGAAAGGGACTTATGTTCTTACCAAACATTAGTGAATATTGATAACTTTGTGTTCTATTTGTTGAGCTGAGAAAAATAATGGATATATTCCTTTAGAGCAACGGAACTCGCAGGAGCGATTTATTCAAGACTACATGATCTCGCTGATGAAGTTTTTCGACGACCTTAGAGCCCATTTGCATACGTTGCCGTTGAAATCTCGTCCCGATGTTGCGGATCGTATTCGAGAAGCCGTACGCCAACACTGTCGTGAATTACGCGTCTGCCGTACTGCACCACTGAGTCGACGTTAGTTCTTCAACTATTTTTATTAGGGATTATACTTTTATTTTTGTACTTTTTGAAGTGTCTTTGGTGGTTTAGTTTTATGTTGATCTATTGGAGAAAATGTTATTGATTATCATTGAAGTATCAATGTGTTTATAGTTAATAATGGTTAAGCATCTAATAGAGTATTAGGGGATACGTTGTTGCATATTACTACATCTCCCCTATTTTCACCTTAATGAAAAGGTCTTATATGAATTTCAGTCGAGTAGTAAACAGATTGATCCGCTACAAAACCAGACCACCATATTTTTCTTCTGATGGATATCTTATTTCATAGACTTTTTCGCCTTTTTTTACCCACAGTTTCCACTGTAGCGTTTTTCCTAAAGTGAAAAAATTATTCTATTCGATTACAGTGATTGAAAATGCTTGTGTGGCTCGTGAATCGGAACTATGGAGCTTTATCGATGTGGCTGCGGAAATGACACTTGATGGGGATTCCGATGGTGGCGGTTCGAGTAGTGATAGTAGTGCAAGTGGAAAGGGACAACGTCCGAGGAGAATTCACACATTTCACGGAACGACAGAACAGTCTGCCGAAAACAGCGCGACAACGTTGAACAAGGAAAGTGAGTAACATAAACACTGTCATTTAAGTTCAGGTTGTTCTCTTTAACTTCTTTCTGTCCTTGGAGTGATTAATTTGAGTGAAATTCCAAATTCTGCCAAAAGAACGAAAAGCCATTGCGTTGCAGAAACTTCACATTAATGGGAAGTATAAATACTGAAATAAAATGGGGTTCTTTTATAGCAGGGCGTTAAAATAGTAATTGCACTAGGGAGTGTATAGCGCAAAGGTTAGAAGTGTCTCACCGCACGCACACGAGCGGCTTTTGGTTACATCCAGCGCTCCGGACTAGTTGGGCCCTCCTTTGCTCTGAGGAAGACAGATTCATTCCAGACGAGGATAAAAACTCTGACTTCGTACATTTACAGGTCGCCGTATCAGTGAAGTATGCACTCAGCCGCATTCTCACGCGTTACTAAGGAATCATTTAACTCCAAATCTTCTGCTGTCTATCTGTACTTTCACATTTTTGGTTATTTGGTAAAAAAAAAAAGCCATTGCAGTAACAGAGTTTTACCAGTGGGATAGAAGAATAACAGTTTACTCCTTTATACAACGAATTCGTGGTTCTCCTAACATACAAAACGTTTTTGCTTTGTCGAAGTTCGCATTTGGAACAGTCAACTGATAGAACAGACAAGATTCTGCCCACCCATACACTTCTGCTTGTGTCGATGATGTTTGTAGCTACAGTGCTTCCATTTAAAAAAAGGCTAAATTTTGTTTCCATTTTTCCGACACTTACATTTAAGGCAATTTTGAGGTGAAGCTAAGATTTCAGAAGAAATCGTGCGTCCATAAAATATTACGCCAAATTTCTAAAATTAGTTTGCCAAGTTTCAAGCCTTCAGGTACTTTTTTTAGTAAACGATAATCAGTAGTTGTCAAAAAATAAACAACTTCGTGAATATTTTAATCTTCAGAATATCTTTCGTCGAGACAAACCACTTACATTTATAGATTAAAGTTTATTCGACCCCATCAGTTTTGAACGGACAAATGTTAAAATGGAACTATCCAAGTGTGCTTTCGATATATTGTTGTGCACTTGTTCGGTTAGCAGTCATATGTTGATACTTCGTTCTGAACAGATTCTTATCGGAAACAAACAATTAAACCTCTGGGGTAGTGAGCAAAATTCTTCCAGCAGAAGGATGAACAATTTTCGGAGAACAACCTATAGCATTGTGTGCGTTATGGACAATGACTACTCCGACACTCACCACAACGTTCAATTCTGCTCTTTTTGCGAATTGGACGAAACACAGGTTTCCCCTATAGTCACTTCGACATTTACGAATCGCACACCAGCCACGACGGCAGTTTTTCTTAGCCCCGCCCCATTTATTGTGAACTCCGTTCTATAAAGCGGTTTTTCACTGCATTTGAGAGAATTTCTGGAATTCTCTTATTCTCAGTATGTTCCATGTCTTCTACACACCTCGCATTTTTTGCTATCTGTAGAAGTCTTCTGTGTGGAGAAAAACCACTTGTCCAGGAGCAATATCATACTGTTATCGGTATTTAATGAACTTGTATAACTTTCCTAGAGAGTTTCACTACGTTTTCCCAGTGGTTTTGATATCCACTCTTTCCTCACGATACACAATAGTCGTCGTACCGACTGGAAATAGGCAACGAATAGCTTGTCAAAAATGATGTTGCGCACTGCAAGCGAAGCCAGTTCTTCGAGATAGGAGCATTTCCGCGTCTCTTGACTGCCCGTATTCTCTACTCCGAAAACCCTCTTCAACAACAATAGTTTTTCTTCGAAAAATGAGAAATTAGTGACAAATTGTTAAGAACACCTCATGAACGGTGTCCACCAAAACATCGGCGTTGGATAAGCTATTGAATGATTCCAAGGATTCTAGAGAGACAGATCTATGTGTTAAAATAAACCACCGCAAAGAAGATGAAACCTGTAGATGTCATACTGTAACTAATACGACATCGTTATGGCACCTATAGAACTCACACTTCTCGAGAGTGTTAAACGTCAGGTGACACAGAAGCCTACGAGTTCAAAAACTCGGAAAACCTGACTTGAACGGAAAATAAGGAGATCGTTATAACAACGACCTGTTTTGCGCTTCTAACAGAAACGATCCATTTCTTGAACGTGTTATGGCATATCAAAGTAAATGGGTTTGATACAAAAACGAACGTTCGGCGCAATTGTTAGGGAAAAACGAAGAACTAAAACAATTTCCGATGCGACATCTCGACGGAAGATTGTGCTAAATTGTTTAATGATCCAAAAGAGCGGCGAAATGCACCAAAAGTCATCCTATGCGACCGAAATTGATCAGTTGAATGGAAACTTTTCTGTAAAATAACAATACCTGATCACATATCGCACTAGTAATAGTATAGAAGTTAGGAGAACAGAATAAAAGATTAATCTCACCAAGCTTGCTAACCCGACTTCTCGAGTTACATTTTCCAAACTTGTCGACAAAGACTTGTTAAGGAAATCTTAATAGACCAAGTCGTTGTTGAGGACACTACAATACGTTCAGGACACTCAGGACATTTCTGGAAAGCTAAAATTTTACTAAAGTAATATAAATGGACTTATGTTTTCAATAGAATGCATAATTTTTGATAATTTTAATATGATCAGTAGGATTTACCTTGAACCGAGATATTTGTGCCTTAGTTTGATGGTTGAAAACCAACAAATTCTTTGAGAAACCTAGTAGGAGGTTTTCAAACTGTAGCCCTTTATTTTTTCCTCATTAATAAGCTAGCATAAGGTTCATGCAAATTTTGTTCAGCTAATGTTTTTGGCACCTTCACTTTCTTCAAAGTTGGATTGGTCTGATTCGATTTTCCACAGTTGTACCTTCTTCCGATAAGGATCTTCGTGACGGCATCGAGTCGAATCCAGTGGAGCACCTCCCGAATGAAGTAACGTCGCAGTGCAGTGCTATTTGACGCAGGACGGTTGTGGATAGTGATTGTCCGTTGAGAACCGTTTGTTTTTCTCCCGACAGTCCATCCTGCAGCAGTCGATATCACTATCAGCTGGCACAAAGCGGAAATTTTCAAAAACTAACTTTCCTTTAACCTCGCCATCTTCTTCATCAACCTGGTATTGGCTTATAAGTAGAGAAGAAATCTTCATTAGTCATTAACCTTTTACATGTAACTTTTAGCTTTATTCAGCGATATAGCGAATACTTTTTTTTACATTTACTTCACTTCTTTCCAATTTTTCGTGATAACCATTTAAACTAATCTACCTGTTGTTTAGAATAAGGTGGACCATAAAAATACGTGGGTGGATTGACATTGCGAAAGGGACACATGCAAAAATTTCTTGCCCAAAAGATCCTCTTCTTTTCAGGATCAACAATTCGACGTCACACGACGGTGCCACGAATGAGCATTTGTCAAGACGGTGTTAGTGACAGAATCGATGAAGACGAAGAGCGATGGGAGTTCAACGAAAGCCGTCGTGAACAACTTGAGGTTGAGGAGAAGACGCACCAACTGCCGGTGACTGTTTACGTGTATTAGTGCTTCGTCGCTAAAATATTAGTTTGTTAATTTTGGAATACTGAATACAGTGTTGAAGACAGAAAATTGCTGATATTTTCTTTTTTTGGTGCATCTTGCAATCTTCCAGGTGTTGAGGTTATTCATCGTCCTATCATTTCAGCTTGGTCTCAACTTGAAGGCTCGCCGTGCAATGTCCCATCTCATTCGTGATGTCGTGAAACTGAAATCAGAAAATAATCATCTGCGGAGTGAGATATCGCTGTTAGTTCCACTTGTTTGTTGATCATGCATATAAACGGACGAGTGTAACCAACTTGTAATTTTAGCAATAAGACACGACTTGCGATGAAGGAGCGAACGCAGAATGCGATGATATCCCCATCGTTAGCCTCCGATACCATGGAAGCATTGCGTCGGAAGGAGCAGGAAGTGCGTGAAGAGAACGCTCGACGTCGACAAGAGCTGGAGCAATGGGCGGAGGAGCTGCGTGTTCAGCAGGAACAGCAACGACAGCAAGAGCAGCAAATGTTGTTGCAGCGTGTACGTTCCATGCAGTTGCAATCATTAACGACTGAAATCCTTAACAGTTTTTAGAACTTTCTGGGTATGAGTGAGAACAGCACTTGACAACGGTTGTAAACTAGAATTAAGAATTCTTAAGGAGCAGCTACGTCAGAACGAGGCAGAATTAGCGAATAAATGGGCAGCATTACATGCGGCGACTGTGGCGGGTTGCACAACCCCTGAGACAACACCTCGAATCGCCGGCCGAATATCGATGAAAAGTCCAAGTTCTCTGAGCAAAGCCACATCCTTTCGAGATCCAAAGTAAGTCTATTTGTCTTTTACGTGGAGATCGAAGTAGGGTAGAAAAACCGGGAAACGCTTTTTTGAGCCACTGAATTCATTCGAACCATGTTCAAATCAAATCTCTAGTGGTAGTCGATCAGATGCAGTCGTGGAAATCGTAATTATTTCTCGCCTTTATTGTAATTCTTTTCTATCGTTGTTTATTTCGCTTCGAACAATGTGGAAAACACTGAGATGAAGGGAGATGAAAGCAGCTCAAATTTCACGAGCTTCATTTGTTATTTTCTACATGCTCGATTCACTCCTCTTCATGTTCACTGTAACACAACGCAAGCCTTTAGTTCCTAATTCTTTGTTCCTCTAAAGAAGTTACACAAATTTTTGCGTTCTTCACATATGCATAAGATTGGTAGATGACATTATATAATTTCGATATCTTAAGCTAAACATCGGTCGGCAACACACCTGTCTCATCTACCTATGTTTGATTGTGTAGCAAAGTTGCTAGCCGTATGAATCATTTCAAAGGTGGTGGTCAGGTTTCTATGAGTAAGGCATGATTTAGATCAGCTGAGGAAAACGGTGATGAAATGGTAATGTTTGTATGTGTGTGAGTAACGCTTTGTAGTATAGAATAAGTTTTCCGCGTTTTTGCTTGCTCTGGCTCAATAACAAATGCCCTCGTTTTGTTGGTTTTCTTCAGTTTGGTTTTTCTTTTCTGTTCTTGTGTTCATTGCCGTTTCATTGGTGTAGTGCTGTGCTCGCACTAACTTTAGAAATATCAACTCAAAAATCAATAATTTTGAAACCGACCGTCATTTAACCTCGGTACTATAATAATCAACATTTGTTTACATTGTTGAGCTTACACGAGGTTGATAGAGTTGTTTATTCGGCTAACGTTTCGACGCCTTCGTCTTCATCAGAGTCGTTGATCCTTGTCGTTGGTCCACAGTTGTTCCTCTTCTCGATGTTGCATCTTCGTCTGGCATCGAACCGGGTCTTCCTCAGTGGAGCATCTCGAATGAGGCATGCTCCCCGGCGATGCTATTTTATACACAGGGCGGTTGTTGTTGATATGATTACTCATTTATAATAATTTGTTTTTCCACAGGTAATCCACCAGAAGTCGGTATTTTGTTAGGTATTTTGTTGTTTTCGTCAAATATCAATATATCAGTATCAAAAAATGTATAGCGCAGCTGTTGATCTGATCAGAAGGGATCATTAAAACGGTGATAAGTGGATGATTTCTGAAGTTTTGGATATGGATCGAGGCAGTTCGTGGTTGATTTGTTGTTTCTGTGCGTGCTTCCCTAATACGGTACTATTGGTTATCACCGTTATTGTATCTAGACCACTGGAAATGCACTAGGATTTGTGGAAACGGGGATTAGGTTTTTGACCAAATATTTCGCGATTTAATCGTAATTCTCATTTTCCGCTCATTTTGGTCAAAATCGTGCTAAAATTTTTTAACCCCCGACTGGTAACCAAGTTTCAGACTTGAGGCATGGTAAGAAAAATTGTGGAAAATATACTAAGGACGATTCTCGGCATGCTTACTGCTAAAACTAATGGCGTCGTAGTACTATTGTATGAATACATTATAGTGGCAATATACCAGTGCTCAAATACAGCCTCAGGGATGATGAGATATGAGCAGAATTGGCTGCAAACCGCAGATGGACTTCGAAACCGCGATAAGCATTACCGGTCTTGTTTTGCCTTTCTCGGAGCCACTTTTTAGCTTCATCGGTGGTGTCAGCAAACACATGTCAACGGCACTGATCAGGGAAGCGGAAGTCGGCATTTAACTTAGTTTAGCTGAAGCTGCAGTGGAAATTACAATCTCTTGACTTTTATTTTCTGCCTTTTCTTTTTTCATGGCGGAGTACTATGTGAAATCCAACCGCAAGGACCCCGGAGTGATGGAAGGCTTGGTGAGCCTTGGGCGTGAGGATCGATTCCACGTGTGTGTTGCAGGGCGCCTCCGACCAATGCGCCACACGTGCCTATGGTGACGAACAGATGCACATATGAAAGTTGTAGGTGATTAAAGGGCTTGACCTTACTAGTGTTATTAACTCAATACATGGTGAACACTTACACATGCCCTCTATGTACTCTCACGATCATTCGGAATGTAATGGCCAGTATCATTTCTAAATGTATGCGTCACTGAGGTGAAGTAAACCACGTCAGTGTACTTTTTCGACTGTTCTCAGCAGTTTTAAATGGTCGGGAAGCGTTGAATTGCCTGTCTGTTGTTTAACATCATTTTTCTGATCCGTCTCATCTGAGTAGAAAAGCGGTCTGCGAACAGAATCTGTGGTAATCGGCAATCTTCATTAACTAGCAGACTTTGGTTATTAAGGCCTTTAAGAGTTGACGACCTCACTAACTTGTACATGTTAATTACCTTTAACAGTGTTTGTTGTGTGGCACAATAAATCCTGCATGTTGCCTGACGTAGTTATAATATTCTATTTGTTTTATAGACGTAGTTCTTTTCTTAGCCGGTGTTCGTTTTCAGTGATCTCTGAGACGTTTAGACTTATCGCGATAATTTAGGCTGGCAACGACTTCGCAACCAGGAATTTCGCCCGCTCTAAGAAGTCTTACTAAGAAGAGCGAAACTAAGAAGGTCAAGAAGTGATATGATACTGATAAGAAATGACCTCTATCGTTTTCTATCGTTTATTCTAAGCAAGAAAAACTTGTGTTATGAGTACTGGTCGTCAGGCGCCGTACCCACTCGTCTCCTCTAGTAGTATAGGGAATTTGCATTTAACACTTACGCAACAACGCCTAATTTCATATCCTTCTAGAGTTACTGATTTTCCGACAAGACGATAATTTTTCGATAACTAAGGTTTCGAAGGGTTGAGAAGACGAGACTTTTAGAGATAACTTTGATCTATTGCTTTATGGGTATGTATGGTTGGTGTGCCACTATTTACTCTATGTTACTATGGTCCGTTATATGATTGCTATCATCACTTGGAAGTGTCTTGCAGCTTATGTTGAGTTTATTTCTGTCTTTTCAATATGCCCATTCCACACAATCACTATGATTCGTTATAGCGATAAGAACTGAAATAAGAACTTGTCAAATTACCGCACAATGAACTCTTTCCCAAAAAAAAGTTTTTTATATATTTCCATGTGCAGAATAGAGCTTTCCTCAGTCGTCCCACGCCATGACATCTGTTTTGAATAAGCAATTGACTACAAGAAGTAGGAGGGAACAGCTCTGCGCGCCAAAATAAACCATCGAGAACAACCTGTATAGTGGTCATACCGGCCACTGTGCTCCTAACGATTCCATAGAGGTTGCGTTGTTGCGTATATGTTAAAATGAAAATGAATATGTTATCACTTGCCGCACTTTGTAAATTTGCATATTTCTTTGCTTCGTCTTCTCTAAGCAGCAAATTTGCGTCAGTCTACATTTGCAGGAAGAATTGTGCGCCGCTTGCATAGGTCGCGATCATTCACGACATGTCGTGAATCGAATACAATCAGAGAAATCCTCGTTATAAAGCAGATTTGACGCAGTTTCCTGTGTAGAGGATGGCTTTGTAGTCTCCATTGCAGCGTCACCGTGTGGGCTTTGTCCACTCAAAAATCCGGTATCCAGCTAAATCGCTTACTGAGAAGTCTTCAGTTTGATTGTTATTCCGTAATCAGTGCCGAAGCAGTTCATACTCTGTTGTGCCTCTGTGACATCAGAGTTTTGACCGATCAATACCACATTTGATTGATATTGTATGTTGTGCTAAGAACATAGATGTTCACAGTTGTATATTTCCTATCATATGTTCTTTTTTCTGTTTTTAACAGTGATACTTATCCGCTGTTTTAATATCTAATAAGCCATATGTTCCTTTAAATGGGCGTACTGAAATTAAACGTGTACATACTTTGATGTTTTTCTTTAATAAGCAGACACGATGTTATTATTATAGAATTTATTAAGATACAATAGCTGACGCTTCGGCAGTTTCGCCTTCTTCAGAGCCTGGAAAGGTCCAATTGAGATGCGATCTACCCAGCCAAACACTTTCACAACCCTAGCAGAGAAGACTTAACAAATAAGTTTGTATTCGCATAATAAACAGCTTCATTTGAACACCTACCGTTTATTTGTTGTAAGTATTTAAGTTAGTTGGTGGATAGCAGCGGCGCAGAGTAATACATGGACGAGGACTGTCCATATGTCAGACCATTTGGATCAGTTTGAGGTATGGCGCTAGGCCACGCGTGATGACAACACACTCCTCCTAGCGGTTCATTTTTGAATTTTTGGAATTGGTCCAAAAAGTTTCAAGAGTTTTACGCGCTGATGCCTTGGATTCCTGTGGGAGTATAGTGACTCCTACTTCAAAATCTTCTCTGTTGTGTTCCTGCATCCTATGCGCGCCTAGTGGAGTGCTTGGTTTTAATTTAGATTTACCGACTGGATGTTCTCTTATGCGGAAGCAGAGCGGTCTACCCGTTTCGCCAACGTATTCGTCCCCACAAGCTTTACGAGAGATGAGATAGACTGTGCCCGAACTCATGCAATCATCGTCTCTACCGTTAGGGCAAATTATGCAGTTCTTTGTTGTACATAGACGGTCGTACAGGCGGTTGCGAACTAGCTGGCGTCTTAGAGTGTCCCATGGTATTTCTATCACTCTTACGGAATTCTCTAGACCGGTCCTTATTAAACAACGTTTTATGGCTGCACTTATTTCTTTTGAAACAAAGGGCAAGAGGAACGGAACCTTGTTTTCGCTGGAATTATCGCTCTGGGGCGTGGTTTTTCCTCTATGACTATGCCGAGGAGCTGCGGTTTCATAACTATTTGAAGTGGCTATTTGGCGCGCCAGTTTCGAGGATTCTTCCCCCTGATCTCTACCTGTACACACGCTGACAGCGGTTCGAAACATATTTCTTATAAGCGCCCTCTTAGTGTGTGAGGGATGAGAGGAGAGGTAATGAACCACTATATTCTTACTGCTTGGCTTTCGATAC